GGCAAAGAGCTTCGAAGTAGTATAGCGCGCGCTGGGTCAGTCCATTTACAATGGACAAGAGGCCGTAGTATTATTTACTTTATTAATAGATAAGGACATCAGAGAGTTAGCCACTAAATCATAAATTTAGCACTACTATTAGTAGTACTAGCAACTAGTAATTTAATCAGCATACTTCATCATTCATTATTCTCAAATTTAACACTATTTGTTCACAAGTTGACACGATTTATATGTATGATGTAACAATAATGAATAAGAAATGAAAGAATCGAATTGTGGTTACAAAGATGGAAATATTAATTGTCATTATTAACTTCTAAATAAGTATAAAAATCGATTAGCAATTCCAAAACCTGGTCAAAAATCATAGTCAAACACTACACCAAAAACTCACACAATCGATCGTAAGTCAATCACTGCTATGCGAAATATCTAACATTTCTATGAAGGTGGACACGCGGGTCGGAGCTGACAAGTTGTTTGAATAAAAATCAAGCAATTCTAACTCTCGACCAATATAATAACATTCTATGATTGATAGTAAAAGATCCCGAATATTAGACTATAGTTCAAAGTGTTAAGAATTGAAACTGGGACACTATTAGTGATTAGTACCCACGTGATTAAAGATGCCAAACATTGTGAGAATCTACTGACTGGTTATCTATATTATCGGGAGTCAAGATAGCAGCTCACAAACTGACTATAACTTCAGACAAAACTGAAAGAATCTCCGAAAAAAAAGTTTCACTTAAAAGATCAATAAAATCTTTAAAAAAAGGTCACCCAATCGTTACCTATAGAAATTGAAATCAAACAATAACGAATAATAAAAGATTTTATAAACAAGAAACAAACGAAACAACATGAACAGGTTGCTAAGTCCGTTGCTATGGGAACGCTGGTTAGTTACCATTCAGAAGCTTTATACTTACGTCATCGTGACAAGGACTGAGCAGCATCTGACCCTGAATTATTTAAAATTACATTTCTGATTGGTTGGCACGTGACTAGAATACAGATCTCTGATTCGATAGTTCCAATAACGCGACTAGAAAACAATTCTCTGGTTGGATAATTTCAATACATATTTCCAATTGGACAGTTTCAGCAAAGTGAATAGAATAATAAAACAGTGGTCTCTGATTGGTTGGTTTACCTGGAAGGTTATAAGACCCCGTTTCTTAGCTGCTCGGAGGGTTCCAACTAGCGCCTCAAACAAGTTGGCACATTCCGTATCTAGGAAATAAATTTTTGAGATGTTATCGTGGATTTGATTTGGTGTGAAGTTTAATTTGGCAAAAAAATCGCTAACGAAAAGAGAAACAGAAATTTGGCGAGCACTACCAATTCCCAGTAATCTATGACAAAAATGACAATACCATTAATACCAGATATGACAATATCAAATACTATGAAATATACATGAACTTCAATTAAACATTTAAGAGAAAACGTAGCTGAAACAACCATTGAAAATAATCTGAACTTTTTAAAGTTACCGTCGACTGCAAAAACATTAGAGTTTTAAACTAATAGCGCTAATAGAGTTTATTGAAACAGACAAGGAATGTGTTATAGTTACCGTGAAAAAGAACTCCAAACTTGACTCTCCACGATCCATCCCCGCAATCCTCACCCAGCCGCTTAATCGTCTCTTTCAAGAGTTCAATCTCGTGGTCAACATTCATCACAGTTTCGGCTAATAACAGAGAAAATGTTAGATTAATAAATTAATCAGTTGTTTCTTAAATTGTTCAGGAGGTACTGAACGTTACGTCGAATAAAGATTACAAGATTTCACAAGACAACTCATAATCACATAAACTAAAAACAAGATTTGACATCTCACAGAATAATTTACTAAGGTTTATAATAATACGGGGAAGAGCGATTTTTATCTCAGGAGTGTTAAAATTTTACAAGAAACAGAAACAATCTTATGTCACTGGAGAGTTACATGATGCAAAGAAAAAGGCACAGAAGATTTGAACATATATGAATCACCCACACGAATATGAAGATATATGAAAGAACCTATATTCATTCCAGAGCAAGAATATTCTTACTGAGTCCATGACTGACATGACCATTTATGGGCATCACGTGATGGAGATCACGAGGCAGAAATAGGCTGGAGTTCCTGTAATCTGGTGATCAGTCGCTCAATATTCAGTGAATGTTTGCAGAGGTACTGGTTGTTAAGGTGGACAACTGGTATATCGTACTTGTACTTCTTGTTTAATAGGGGGTCTGTTTTTATATTTACCAGCTCTACCCTGCGAAAATATCCATCTTTAACCAGATTGATAGATTAACAACAGAACATTACCATTAACAGAACTTTACTATTAACAACAGAACTTTACCACTAACAACAGAACTTTACCACTAACAACATAATGCTATCATTAACAACAGAATGCTACCATTAACAACAGAGTGATACCATTAACAACATAATGCTAACATTAACAACATAATGCTAACATTAACAACAGAATGCTACCATTGACAACAGAGTGCTACCATTAACAACATAATGCTTCATTAACAACAGAATGCTACCATTAACAACAGAGTGATACCATTAACAACATAATGCTAACATTAACAACATAGTGCTAACATTAACAACAGAATGCTACCATTGACAACAGAGTGCTACCATTAACAACATAATGCTATCATTAACAACAGAACCTTACCATTGCATTAACAACAGAATGCTACCCTTAGGGAGCGTTCACATATGACGTAAGCAGCCGAGGGGGGGGGGGGGTCTGGCAAATGCTGACGTCATTAGGGGTAGGGGGGTCGCTCAATGCTGACAGTCGCTGACAGAGGGGAGGAGGGTAAAATTTGCCAAAATCTTGCTGACGTCATATGTGAACGCTCCCTTAACAACAGAATGCTACCCTTTAAACAACAGAATGCTAACATTAACAAAAGAGAGTTGCCATAATATAATGTAATAACACGGACAACATGCAACATGATATAATAATGTTACATCACTTTAGTCTGAAACCGGACACGTAACGCGGGACACGTAAAATGTATTTATATACACTATCGGATGTACAACAAAGAAATAAGCTGGTTCACAAATAAGAACCCAACACGGTTGGAAACAAGAATACAGGGGAACACATCTAACACGTACACAGATCAACAACAATACAGAACTAACAAGAGAAATATTCCCTGGAGCAGAGTAGCTGGTTGCCGGTACTCAAAATGTGCGAATGATACAATTAACAGGGTAGCTAACAAGTTATATAAAGGGAGAGCGTCCTGATCTTTCAACACTTCTTATCACATCCGTGAGTGACATGGTTACATTTAATGCATCTGAGACTGACAGGGCCACACTATGCACATTTAGATCATGTAGAATCGGCACGAGACATTCCGGGGTGAAAGAAAAAGGCTTGAACTATTGCAGTACTCCGGGGTGGGAGATTATTGCACTACGTTAAAGCCAGGTCAACACACCTACAAGGCTACAAGCCCTCACGAATCATCTTAGCCAATTGGTGGAAGGAGTATATTTAATTATAAAGCTTCAGTTCCATTAAATCACTATATTAACGTACACATCTGTCAGATGATAGATGTGTAGACGTATGGTTGCCTTATTTGGCGAGAATCATTATATTCTACCAATAAACGTTTTATGATCCGGATTTTTTGTCGGGATCAACATTAAGTAAAGTCCGGCTGAATATCGTCACTATAGTGACAGAGCTCCAAGGCTAATTAATGCAGATTTCACAATAGAAATAATAGCTAATCACATGATGCAGAAGCACACAAACGAACTAACAAACGGACCAATATTAAAAATACATAATTAACAAACAGACGAACAAATTAATAGACAAAATCTAGAAATAAACAGGCTTACTTGAATCTATCAATAACAAAAGCAAATAACAGCAGAAAGTGTCAGGAGGCAGCTAAAGACTAAATGTATAGTCACACTCCTGCACAGTACATTACACGTAACACATAGTACTGATGAGTAGTAATTATATGTGCTTGTTCTGATCCTGTTGGAGACCCATTTCTACGAACAAACAAACAAACAAACAAACAAACAAACAAACAAACAAACAAACAAACAAACAAACAAACAAACAAACAAACAAACAAACAAAAACAAGCTTACTTGAAGCGGTGTGATAATCTGATCTGCTCCAACTGAAAGAGGACCTCGTCACACAACGTGCACGTGGGCGAAGTAAACAGCTGAATCACTGGGTCACGTGACGACTCAACATCTTCTGATAAAACCTTGTTACTCTGATCAGTAGATAGAGTTCTAACTGAGATGGAATAGTCTGGTCCTTTAAAACGTTCCAAGAATCCAGAAGAGTCGGCTAACCGTGAGGTGACCACGTGACTTCTACACGGTTTCTGATCTGATAAAGTTCTCACACATCTTCTGGACTGGATTGATCTGAGAGTTGTGAGGCCTCTTCTGTCGAGCCAGGCTGGTGAGTCTGGAATGTTTAAAGGTGCTGACCACCGCTCTGATTCCCACCATCGTCACCCTGGCAACATCACCTGTACTTCATATCTACTGCTGGCGATGTGTTACTCAGTTTTACAGTTGAACTTAACAAGGATATAAATGGGTGTTACGGAATTTCGGTGCTGTTTTTATTTGTGAAACTATTTCCCCGATCTCGACATTTTCAATTTGGTGAAATAAATGTGGCAAGAATATGGCAAGAATATACTCTCATTATCTACCCATTTAAATACTGGTCCCATCTCACTCCTACCCCATCCCCCCCCCCCCCCCCCCCCCCCCCCCCCCCCCCCCCTTTTTTTGCTGGCACTATTTTAATACTCCTGCACTGATGTCGTAATTTGCATGCCACAAACAAATTGAAAAGTGCTCGTTTCCATAGCGACCGAATACATTCCTTAAGGAGATAAACTTGAATACAAACATCACAGATCAACTAGAAGTCAACACACGCGTGTAAGTTTGTATAAAATTATGTACAGAACAAATTATATATAATCGTAGTATCTAACAATCGGAGAGAGAGGAGGCTAATACTCGCGTTACCATGGCAACCACAATTCGTCACCATGGTAACTACAACACACCATACATATCATACCATGGAAACAAATACTAAACGACACACTTTACTACTTCTAACAATAATCTCATAAATCCAACTGATGAGAGCGTGGCTGCTGCTATATGTTATATATACACCTATCACAATGCTCGCAAGCTCCGTAGCGAGGCTTCACTGATATAATATGACACTTGTACTTGATTTGGCTGTCACTACCTTATGTGGTCATCACGTGATATCATATTCTCCTTTAAATGAACACTGACATTATATAATATGTATATTATATATCTTGAAATAGTACCATACACTATAGGTGTTTTAACTTTAAGCGACGGGGTTTTCTCTATAAGGGAGTCAGTTATGCACAATGACAAAGGACGCCCACTGCTCGTTTTTAAACCCAATATATACGTAAAAGAACTGCAAGTTTTGCATGAAATCCTGGTGAGAATTTCACTGGACCACCTTAAGAGCATTCATACAATAACATAGCGTATTACAAAACAAATCAATTTGAACAACATCGTTTTATTTGATGAGCAACAAATAAAAATAAAAATCGTAAAAACCGACTGATAGCACTTCAAAGGAATTAGTTTTTAAGCTCTAGACATCACGTAAAAATCAATAATTCTGTACCGACATTTTAAAAGCAGGTAAATCAACACAACACTCTTTTCACCAATAGAGCAATGAAAAATTATTGAAGAGGATTTCTCAGATCAATCCTTATATAATAGTAGTATTTCCATGACAACATAACCTTATATGGTCATTTAATTCTCATATCACACCTTGCTTAAACCTAAATTTTCGCAACATAAAAGAACCTATATCCTAAAATTATTTACTCTCAGTTGCAAGCGGACAAAAGATCACGAAGCCTTCTTATTAAAATGAGACACACTTTCCAGAGTCGCACAGGATGGATGCGTGGTGCGGATAAACAATTAGCACGTGGTTACCGTGACCATGGTAACTGCTAGAGTTGGGGCAGCACTGCACGCATTACAGAACAAGACCACGGGTTGCGCAACTGATAGAAACAGGGAGTTTGAGTTACTTGTCTGAGGTAAACATGAGGGCAACTGTTACCATGGTAACTGTTACACGATTGTTGGTTCGCCCCTTTCGTGCTCTGCACCATTTTCATCGTCCGAGTCCAGGTCGGTGTCAGTCTCTGGATCCGAGTCCTGGGAGATGTCGTGCTCGCTCGTGCTCGCTGAATGGTGCGGCTTATTGCTGCATTCCTCAAAGTACATCTCGATCTGAAATATGGTTTTAATAAACTGATAAATCGGACATGACAGAAAAATTGATACATCAGAATCACTTAGTTCATGATATTTAGGTTTATTTGAGGAATTCAGTATATTCCACGACACAGCTCGGGAATGTTTGTTCAGTGCTAAACCAACCTTAAAGTCCCTGGGAACGATTTTATGCTTTTTATCCTTGTTAATTTTGTCTGTCTCTGGTTTGGAGAGTGAAACTATGTACTGTTTCTCTTCTCCAAATATGGCGCAGTCCTCATCCTCCCCTGTTTTAGTCCGCTGTGCTATGAAGAACGTGTTGAGCCAGAACTGACACAGCCGCTCCTGAGGGGGGAGCGTGGTAAAGTGAAAGTGAAAAACTGACCACATGTGTTATTTTGTGTGCCTTTTTGGAATCTGTATTAGAAAATGTTGAGCGTCTGGGCTGGTGTGTACTATGATTACATTGCTTTGAATTTGTATATTGAATTATATTGTATTTCAGTGCTATGTAACCAGGCGGCAAATTTGAAATGGGTTATGATGGGGTCCATAGTCCCCACACATAGTATCATGTCCTTGTTTTACTGACTACTTCAATGAAGAACGTACATACAAGACAGAGACATTTAAAGATAGATGTAAATTACAGGTATTAAAACTCTGCACGAGTTAATTGATAGTACAAGAAAATACTAACTTTAGTTAACTGTTTAGTGAATATTTCAATCTTCATGTCACCGCACACAGGTATAGGCTTAGCTGGAAACAGGTCTTTAGAGTCGAGATCTCGTCTGACTTGTTCGTAGGGCGAGGAGTATGATTTGACATAGCCAATCGATAAACTGAATGTTATACCTGAAGTTATTGCAATGATGTTCTCTGGTGAACTTCGAAAGAAACCATCTGTTCGATTAAAAAAGCGCAGTTTTAAATTTAACTGTATTTTGCCAGGACGGTGAGATTGTTTGGTACAAAGTATGAATTATCCGATGACTATTAATATAAGCGATTTGCCAGCTGGACAGATCCCGCCGTTCATAGAAGTTAATTTTACAATGAAAATCAACTGTAGGTGTTTCACAGACTTTTGTCTTATCGGGAAATGATTTACCATCAAAATCGCATGAGCTACACAAATGTAGGAAGTAGATTGGTGCAAGTGAGATTACTACAATATTTTGTCACTGTTCATCTCGCAGTGCCGTAGATAACTGCGCGGAACTGGTCTAAGCAAGGATCTGCCTGTCTAAGTTAACCATCCATGGTCAACTTAATTGATTATTGCTGTAAAAGTCAAATTGACGTAAACCTGGCAAATTGGTTTAAGCGGTCTTGCCATGCGCGGCTCAGAACTTATAATTTCGGCGCGCAATTTCTCAACTTTGAGGGTCCTTGCCACACAAGAATGTCATTTGTTGCTAGTACTTTAGCGCTGTTTAGGGGCACGCGCGGAATTGCGCCCACTCCTTCCCCGGAATACATCAGGAAATTAACCCCAACATCGGTAATTGGAGGCGCCAAATTAATATCCATACAACATACACTTAACTCCAGCTATAGTAAACCATCACAATGCACTGCTTTGATCCAAAGAAATAAAAATCTCCATCCTTTGTAGTTTGTATTTTGGATACACAACATTAATTCAAGATAGCATGCTTGGACATTACACAAAAGTTCAAATTCCGAAGAGACAAAACACAGTGAACTTACTTAATGAACCAGCCTGCGTGTAAGGCAGCTTGATAAGTTTTATCTTCGTTAATAACAGCGTCTTGGCTTCGTATTTAAGTCCACGCCTGGATTAAAACGCTGTTAATTTCTAATTGACAATTTCCTTCTCAGCCACATCAATACACCCATATTACTCATATTGGCAATTCTTTGGGCAATTAATTGCTAATTCTTACTTACACATTGACAGGAATATTTAAAATAAACTCTCTGTATATTCTGAAGATATTTATAAGGAAGCAATAGCAGTACTTACATAACCAAGTCACCATAATAGTAGACATATCGACGCTGTGATGGAATCGTAACGCCCTGAAAATATGAATTATATATTTTATTTGAGTAGATTGACTGTATGCACATTCCAGTCTGGTATTTTTATACAATGTACGTGTGCAATGAATGATAACACAAAGAAACATTAGACTGCATTATTGAGATGTAAAGTGAGATGGAAAAGCTCAAAGTAAGATTTTGTGAAGGAGAACCATATTTGGGCAAAATATATTGAAAAAGTGAACAATCTATTTCCTTGAAATGGTTAACGCTACCACCATTATTTTGTTAAGATCAATCCACTCTTAAAGTAAATATTTTTTGCATCAAGAGGACTAGAGGAGTTAACATTTTCGTTAGATTTAGGATAATGTAACGATATGGAAATGAATAAAATGACAGATATGTAATACCTTCATGTCGAAGGTTCTAGCTTCGCCATAAAATTGTAGAGCAGGCTGGACGGTCTCGTATATTCCTTCATGTAAAAGATAAGATACTATCATAACTCCTGTTCGCCCCTGTGATTAGTATAATTAACAATTTAAGTGGTTATAATAATTATTTCATAATTTAAAGAAATGTGCTGAATCATTATATACAGATTCATTGTGCCCTTAGTTAAACTGAATACGTTAAAACAGTCTCGATATAAGTTATATATAACTTATATCGAGACTGTTTTAACGAATGGTTACAATAAAGTTATTGAAAATAACTCATTAAAAACCAGAAATTCTGCTTAACATGCTTAACATGCTTAACATGCCTGCTCCACTATTATGAATGAGTGGATTACAACTACATTCTCGCCATCCACAAGCAGTTAAAATAAAAGCCTGCCTACCTTTCCAGCTTTACAATGGATAACAGCTACATTTTCCTCGTCCTCCGCAAGGAAGTTAGCTACATCCTCACAGAAAGGTTTTATAAGCTGAAATGGCGGCGCGTTGTGATCCTCAAACGGGTAGTGGGCTACTTTTGGAAACCTCTTATTATCGTAAGTTCTCTGTCTTTCTTTACACCTGGATTGTGGTAAATTTAAAAACATCATACAATCGCTAGAAGTAAATTGATTTCTTGTAGTATAGTAGCAAAGCGTAATTTTATCACACTTTGTATTATTTTCAGGCATGTTACAATGTAATATATCTTCATGTTTCGACTAAAGAAGTAAATAGATTAGGATTTTGGTGGAGAGGTATATTTTTCTGAAACGTGACAGCTATTAACCGATCAGCTTCCATTGACCAATCAAACCCTTGAATCACTGTCACGTGTTAACTAAATATGCTTCACCTCCCCAAAAATGTCAGAAATTTCAGAACGAAAATGAATTTCAGATTTTAAATTTCAAATATTTACAAATTACGTAAAATACTTACAAATTATAGATTTTATAATGATTGGCATGCTTTTCCTCAAAGAACCTGAAATGGAATATCTTTTTACAATCCTTCTCAAAGATGGAAATTTCGAATCTAAGGGGGGGGGGGGGGGGGGGGTCCAAGGGGAACTTTGGGGAGTTTTGGGGAACTTTTTTTGGGGAACTTCAGGAAACCTGGGGGACTTTCCCAAAGTTCCCCAAAAAATTATCAATGAAACAAATAATTTTGGGGAACTTTGGGGAACTTTTTTTTGGGGAACTTCAGAAAGTTCCCCAAAATTCCCCAAAGTTCCCCAAAGTTCCCCAAAGTTCCCCAAAAAAATTATCATGCCAAAAAAATTATCATGCTGCAAGTATCAACAAGTAAGTTAAGATTATACCTTATAATAACATACATGTTAACATTAATGGGTATTAATGTATATTAGAGAAATTTTGAATAATTTTGAATAATTTTGAATAATTTTGAATAATTTTGGGGAATTTTGGGGAACTTTGGGGAGTTTTGGAGAACTTTTTTTTGGGGAACTTCAGAAATCTTGGGGGACTTTCCCAAAGTTCCCCAAAGTTCCCCTTGGACCCCCCCCATCTAACGTCTCTCATAAGATTACCCAAACATCATGACAATTGACATACATACAATGTAACAAAATCAAGGATATAATAAGAATATTACATTAAACTTGTTTAATTAATTTATTAAACTGGTTTCTAACTCACTTGTGAACGTCCTCTATGTTATTTCTGTAGAAACCTTCAAGGTTATTTGCAGGGAACCCCATGGCCACAATGTTGGGTTTTATGTATGCTAAGTCTAAGTTGTATCCATCCTGTTTAAACCTTCTTTTCTTTTTTGAAACTAGCTCTTTTATTTTGTCTGTCATTAAAGCTTTGGGGATTGTTAATTAGCTTATGAGGAATACGTTATTTAATTTGAAAGTAAATTTATGTAATGAAGCTACTTTGGGATGATAATATTGTAAAAAAAAGGGAGAATTCTCAGTTTTAAGAGCATGAATTTGAAAGGCAGGATGTCGAATTAGATCGTTTACGAGAAGTTTATGGTTGGTAAATAGAATGGTATATTTTCAGTAAATAGAATAGTAAATATTTGGTACACAACAACGAGATCATTACCAGGGTCAAAACACAATTATTCCAGGGCATATCAAGTAGGGTACAGTATATAACAAGTCTAAATAAGTTTGATATCAGAAATAGCAAATTTGATCAAAGTTTGACGTATGCAGAGTTCTCATAACTCATAATTCATCTCTCATTAAGTTTGTACTTTAAAATATGTCAAGGTATTAATTTCAACATGTCTGTCCAAATTACCAAGTAGGCCAACTTTTGTTCACCTGCCAAGGATTCCAACTAAATTCTCACTCAGGTGCTAATTTTGAGCTGTTGCAACAAGCTGGTACTGTCACCAGACTCTATATTATTATATATAACCAGATTGCCAGCTGGTTTCAGGCCTTTTCAGTAGTTTCAGTATTACGCTCTGGTGACTTGTTCCTTTATTGATATTATATTAATAAAGCAAAGAACTTGATCCTCCTTCAATTCTAAATCAGTGAACAAATTCATATCTGCTAAACTAGACTTTCTGCAACCAGAATTTAGGATAGCAAGTTTATTAATAAAAGTGCAAAATATTTTCTAGTCTTGCAATAATTTTAATTGTATGCAGCCTAGGCAGCTGGCAGACAGTAAATTTTTGAGAGTGATTATATTTGGCTTGGCCAGGGGATAATTTTGTTTGACTATCTAAAATTGCCACCCAAAAGAATCAAATCCCTACTTGGTTCTTATCAGTGAGCTGGTGCCAGGTGTAATAATTATTGCTGTATTATAAGTTACTTTGGTCTTTAGTTATTTAATGAGTTTTGCTATCTAACTAATATAAGGTTGGCAGCTAAAATCTTCAAAGTTCCGACTGTGCACGTGCATGGCATCAGTTTCAGTAAATTAGGGTCTTATTACAAATTCTTACGCAATTAAAATGGCTGATTATTAATCAGAGTATGTTATATGTAGTCAATATTGCTGCTGAAATTTCAGAGACCTGCAGCAGTTTCTTTTACCTCTGACATAAACTTTCTATTTTGATGTTTCAGTTGGCAAACTTGCATAACCGTTGGCAAACTTGCATAACCGAGTTATTATTTCAGTATTACAAGTTGTTGCTATTTCAGTTGCAACAACTTCAATAGCAACAACTATTTCAGTTGTTGCATAATCTGAGGGATTTAATGAAAGACTAACAACCCGACCCTTTGTAGCATAACTATGCAAACACTTGAAGATCACTGCCATGAATACATAGACCAGAACTTTTCCTACGGAACAAGAAAGTCTGACGTCAACGACACCCGACCAATATTTCCCAGTCACCACTCAGCTGACACTACCATAGGAATATTGCTTGTTATTATTGGGATCTTTTGCAGTATCTTTAACTCGTATCTGTTGGTCGTGTTCTCACAAAGACGCAGATTTGGAGTTACTAGTCTGCTCATTCAGATAGCTTCAATTGATTTCATATCAGGTAATTATTCTTTAGTTTTAATAAATAAATTAGAATAGATAAAGAAGTTTCTGATTGAAAGTGCCATGATTATATATGCTTTCAATGAGTTGGGGTCTTTTCAAATTGAGGGGGTTTTCAGGGCTGTTGGCTTTGGTGATGGCAAAAAACATGCTGACATCTGGGAACCGTAAAGAATATTTGCACAACATATTTCTCAACATCACGCTATGCCAGATACCAGGTATAATGCAACTAATAGTGCTTTCTTATGAATAAGGTTACTAAAAGAACATGACATTGAAACAGATGTAAATAAGATATCATTAGTATCATGACGATTTAAATTAAAGTGAAATTTGCATGATGTGTAAATTGTTACATTTCTTATTTACCTTCAGGCATATTGTACCAAGTTTTCACAGTAGCTTTGCCCATTCTGCTAATGTATCTGACAATATGGCGACTCGTTGCAGTGAGTAAGCCACACAAGTATTGTTTGTATCTGGTACAATACAGAAGAGTGCACTACCTAGTGTTCACAACTGCATGGATGTTTGGACTTGCTCTTGGTAAATAATCGTTTTTCAACATATTGCGAAGATTCGAAATGAAGCACATGATTTACATAAATTAAATAATCAAAATACCACAAAGCATAACTTATCCCAATTAGTATAGCAGTATGCTAAAGATTACTACACGACACTCCATAAGTTATAACCTTGCCTCAGTAATGCAACTCTTGAAACAGTTTCTCTGTTCATGATGTACAATACAAATTGACTCACGTTAATTTTCAGGAATAATGCCCTTTGTTGTGGGGGAAAATATGTGCTACATACCAGAGTGGGCCTTCTGTGATTATCGAATAGCAGTTGTCATTGAGAATAAAGTTGTAAAACATATTGCAATAGGGTAAGATCAGCTTTACATTACTCCTGAAAATCTGGGCTGAAACATATTATGCAACTTTTAGAGTCTACTTAAAGTCATTTTAATAAGCAATAAATTATTATCATTTTAATAAGCAATAAATTATTACACTTTATTTCAGTGTGTTAACCCTGCTTCCAACCCTACCATCTTACTTTGTCATAGTTTGTGGCAGTTTGATCGTTTCTTACAAGCTTTTCAAGTTAAAGTCGGTGAAAGAAGAAAATGTTCCAATGAAGTCGGTGAGAATCACATACTAAAAAACTCAAATAAGCATTGACACAAAATTTTATTGAACTTACAGTGATGATCCTAGAATGAAAATCTCAGTCACGTTACTGCATGAACATTTAAAAGTCATCTATTAGCTTGGTTATTATTTATGATCCTTTGTTTTTTTTTCAGGCTACAGATACTCCAAGGAGTAGCATGGAAAGCTATATTCATGAAGTGAGAGGTAATGACACACGATTATGTCGCACTGGATCATTGGTCTTGGTAGAACTGTCACGTCTCTCAGGTTGGAACAGCTAATTAAGTTCCATTTAAGTAAACAGTAAACACAAAGATATATTTTCAGCAAGTATATTCCATTTGATGATAATTGATTGACTGCAGGTTGATAGCTATACTGTAAAACATCAAATTCATCAAACCAAAATTACGAAACCAAAGAATTTGCATTGCTGTTTTGACCGCGGCACATACTTACCCCAAGGAGAGAAAAATGCATAACTTGTCAGAGTATTTGAAATTAATAAGTATCAACAATTAAGCCACACTTATTTCTAGCACATTATCCTGTGCAAAATGTGTGTAAAGTACATTTCCTCCATGGTTGTGCACATGTTCTTTCTTAAATTATTGGTTTAAGAATGGTGTAAAGCACTTTTTCATATTGAGAAATAGCCAGTGGCGTAACTAAGGGCCCCGCTGACCCCGCTGTGCAGGGGGCGCCATCTTAGGGGGGCGCAAAATCGTCGTTTGAATGTGGGACAATTTTGAAAAACTTAACTGAGATACTAGCAAAACTGCGCGTTTTGCTCTAGAAACACTTTTTTCTAGAAATTTTGCCAGCGTATCCTCTAAAATCACCTAATTTGTTCAATTTAGGGAGGGGCGCCAAAAGGGGAGGGGGCGCCAACAGGGGGCGCATTTTCGGCGGGGGCACCAACAGGCAACGTTACGCCACAGCAAATAGCGCTCTGATGTGAATAAAATGGTCCTAGAATTTGATGTTTCTCTGGTGGAATAGTTGATAAGACAGGAAGTATTTCGTAGCTAGAATTAAAATGGTTTAACTTTGTCAACCCCTCTAAATCAGTCAAACCATTATATTCCAGATAGAGAGAAGAGTGTTGTTATTTCGACCTTGATTATGGCACTGAGCTATTTTGTGACAAACTTTCCTTGGGTGGCATACATCCTCATTTACGTGTTTACTGGTACAAAGAGTACATTCATCATACTATCAGGTAACATTCTTGACAGTTTGAACATGGCAAGGCCAAGGGGGAAAATTTTTAAAGCGATAAGTTGTGAGCATGAGGGTTAAATAAGGAGAGAGTCTGCCAAAACATCTAGAATCTAATCGGTAGTTTATATTTTGTTATAGTGTTTAAAATATTATCACTACACTATCCCTGCATTCTATCACAGGTGGAAATAAAGAAGCTGAGATGTATTTGTACAACTGGTATTATGCAGCTCATGCACTATCGGGATTGGTAAATGCAGTAGCCCAGGTTTGCTTTCTGTGGAGTTTTGAACAATTTTAAAATTATATCGAGCATGATCACACTGAACCCTCTTAGTCTCACATGTTTTTTGACACAATCTTACCGCAATCAGATAATTGGAAATATGATAGCAAGTGTGTTGTGTGTAGTAGCAAGTACTGTATATTTGAAGTCATCATTCCAAGCAGGTTGAGATAACCTGTTCTGGTTGATGCCATCTTATCATGCACATTCTACCATACATTTGGTGATGACACTCACGTCAATTCCATAATTAGACTAAATTTATAATTTAATTTAATTCAATCAACCAGATTGCCTGTTGTAAAGAACTCAACAAGCCAATCATTAAACTGTTCCGGAGGTTTGAAGAGACTGACTGAAGTACAGTGCTGGACTGCCAATCGAGAGAATAGAGCAGTGAGTGGACTTAATGAACAAAAATTCCGTGAGATACAAGTCGTGGTAACATTTTAGAAAAATATTTAAATTATATTTTGCATTAATTCAATTTTCTTTTTCCTCCATTTTCAATTTTGAATTAGATTTTAAATTGTTATGAAATGAAATTACATTGCTTTCGTGATATTATGATAGGTTGACATTAACAACATAGGATATGGTTATTACCATGACCAAAACAATTTTAACAAACAATTTATCTAGTCATGCCATCATGTCACACATCCTACTGAACATCGTATGTTGCAGAATTGTTAATTTTATCTATATCATTCGTGGAATAATCTGTTACCATTTTACTGCTACCACGTCAAATCTTGTATCACGTTGCGACCCCCACGGCCGTTTCACTATATCGTTACGACGATACAGGGGGAGCCGCGCACTTCGTGCGCGGCGGGTCATACAACGTATGACAAGTCAAATCAACAAATGCGAATACCCGCAAGAACCGCAATTACCTGGGGACCCCAGGCTATTATGTTCATAAACATAAAGATTCGGTGGAATGACAGGCTGAGCGCCGCCCAGTAAGAACCGCGAAAGCAGAAAGATTGACGAGTATGAATGAATACAAAATTGCAAAAAGAAATAAATGGCCTAAATGGTGTCAAAATAAATAAATATTGTTGTCTGTTGACACTATTTTAGGGTTAAACAGGTTTCTGCTACAGTTTTTTACTAGCTGTTCAGTGTTCAACCGACGATTGATATTTGGCAAGGAAACGAATAAAACTAAAAATTGTAATAGGGTGCAGGTGTGCATTTTTTCATTTATCAAAATAAAAGTGTAACAATTTATAATTTAATATTTGATGATTTTTTAAAAATCTGAACTTAATTATAAATATTAAAGATTTTCGTATCATTTATAAAGTCATAAAACATAAATTGCGCACATTTGAACAACGTATCTTTTCAAATTTTCAACGTCAAACGTAGCTTTTCAGTGCGATGCAGACAGCATTACTGCGTGCCGTGGCTGCGCCGCGCACAAAATAATACATTATGCTGTACTAAATTCATTATTATTTTAGCAAATCTGTAATATATAAATTAGAAAATGCCGCGCAAAAATACTATTTTGCGCCGCGTATGAACCATGAACGTTCTGACGCAAAAGTAAACATTTTTAACACGATACACTACTAGACCGCGCTTGTTTCACAAATAAAATATACTTTGCCGCCTTCGGCGGTCGCGCGCTACTGCAAGCAAGAGGGTTACTGGCCCGCGCTCAGCCTGTCATTCCGCCTAATCTCTATTAATAGCTTGAGGTCCCCAGGTAAGCAAGAGGGCGTTGGTTATAGCAACCGTTAAATCGGCAGTCATGCACCATTTGCTCTATCCAGAGCCCTTGCGCTATTGATTGACGATGTCAATCCGTCGAGATCGTTGCTCTGCGAAGCAGAGCAACGATCGTCGACGATGCTTCGATGCGAAGCAAGAATGCTAGTTCGCGCGGCGCGTCGAAGCGGCGAAGTCCTCCAATTGCGCTAGCACTAGCGCGCGCCCGCCTCACGGCGGGCACTTATTTCTTGACTTGTGAAATAAGTGCGCCCGAATTGGCGCGAAAGCACATGGTTAAGTGAAATGCACCATTGGGCAACGCCGAACTGCGAAGGATTGAAATCGTCAATCAAGTAAACATTGTTCATTAATTTATTGTTTTGAAAATTTCACTGTAATATAAATAAATTAAAATTTTGTTTGCTTATTGCTCTAACCAGAGCCCTTTCGCTTGCAGTAGCGCGCGACCTACTTGTGAAACAAGCGCGTCACGCAGTACGCGTAGACACATGGCTATGTGAAGTTTGCTTTTAAACACGAAATAATTTTGAATTAATAGAAAAATTAAAATTAAGTTTTTAAAAAATTTATCAATGATGATCGTAATTGACGATACTGCAATACATGTTGTAACGAGTTGCTTACGATTTCGTGATATCAAAGTAAAAATATTGCTTATACTGTAACCCTAAACCCGGCATTCATTTTGCATTCCACTGTTGCGTCGCAGTTAAAGCAATGGGTTTTTTGTTCTGCGACTGTGTTTCCTCGGTGGGCCGACAGGTTTTTGTTGTGTAGTAGTGCTGGGGAAAAAAACGCTTAAACTATCAATGAGAGTAGTGCCACAGTTTCTGTGGTAAAAACAAATTTATAGTTAAACGTTATATATTGTAGAAGGGCATGATTTACTCACATCACTAAGCATCTGGATGTAATGGATAATGTAATGGATAATGTAATGGATAATGTAATGGATAATGTAATGGATAATGTAATGGATAATGTAATGGATAATTAGCACACAAGGATAAACTGACCTTTAAACATGACCACCAGCTATACCACGTAACCATAGCTCCGAAATAAATAAATTGCTCTACATAGAAACATCTGGCTTGATCCTATCACATTGTGGTCCCCAGGGGTTCGGTAAAGCCCTTACAGGCAACTGGGTCCTTTTACCAGCCACAATAAAATTGGTCATGCCAGTACTGTCATAAACTGTAACCAACTATTTAAAAATTAGACATCTCTTGCTAAATTTTAAATTTGAAGTCATAGAGCAATCTTCTTAATTTTAAATTTTTTAAGAATTGTATTTTACCCTAACTATGATGTGGTGGCATTTCATACTTAACTAAATTTCAACTTTGAAAGTAAATAGATTATTAGTGACAACAAAATTATAGTTTAAGACATCCATTCTGCATTGTGTTTCCAATATTAGAATTTATGATATGTATTGATTGAATAATTGGCAATAAATATGTTACATTTCCATTACATCTCAACATTTCGGGTAGTTGATGTGCCTTTTAAAAGCAAGAGCCACTTTGGTCTACTTGCTGTGAGATATCTCAGCTAACTGCACGGGTTGGGGTCTCCCATATTTCAATATGGGTAACCCTTATCTAGGCATGTTCCATGACTTAATTGAACAAGGCTTTTAACACTTTCTTACTAGTTACTCAAATTCATGTTACCAGTGGTGTAACGTTACCTGTTGGCGCCCCCTCCCCTTTTGGTGCCCCTCCCTAAAATTGGAAAAATTAGGTGATTTTAGAGGATACGCCAGTAAAATTTCTAAAAAAGTGTGTTTGTAGAGCAAAACACACAGTTTTGCTAACACCTCAGTTAAGTTTTTTATTAATTGTCATTCATTTGGCGCCCCCACCCTCACAGCAGGGTCAGCGGGGCCCTTCCTTTTTTTCACTGCATGTTACTAGAGCTAGAGGGGAGGCTCACAGACTTCACAAAAGCTTCTTTTTTTTTCAAGATTCTAATTCACTAGCATGTATATGAGTTTCAATTAATTCTTCCGCACAGAAAGACTCTAAATGTTTAAAGATGAAGAACAGACTTGTATTACGTGCCCATCAACTTGGCAAAAATCGAGGTTAGTTATCATGATCATGATCAATTCGTTAATATTTGTTCTTTTGAAGAAACACTGTCCAAGGGAAATATAATAGGTCAGAAGAACATGTCAATTTGGGCTCATTTTCACCATATTTTGTGTATTAAAATTCGACTGTAGGCTTAACCTTTTTGCTCCTGTTATTCAAAAGTTTCCAGAAATATTCCACTGTTTTGAACAGCTTTATTATACTTCATATTATTTCCGGCCCAGAAACATTAATTCAAAACCTTCATATCGTTAAGTCCAAACTGCAATTGTTTTTATCACAGGAGTTCAAAGTCAAGAGTAACACAAACTAGTGCACTTCTCACCAATGATGCCTCTGCTCAGTCTTATGATGTCTGTTCAACTGAAGTTCAGACAGACACAGTTCAGTCTAAGAAAGGGAAAGACCATAATATGGATGATATCGCTAAATTTCTAAAGAGTGTGGAGGCGACCGTTATCAAGAACTTGGAAGAAAATCTTAACTCCACAGCATTTAAAGGGCTGGAGAACGTGTTAGGAATGCACAACTCATCAGTAAACAACACTCTCACTTTAAACCATTCCCCACTAGAGTTTCAAATGTCAGTACAGGATTTGTCTTGGAACGCCAGTGGTTCTGTGATTGGTGTTGCATATGGCAAACATGATCACGAAGACTGGTGTACTCACAAGGGCATGTTCTGCACCTGGAATGTTGATCGTGGAAGAATTAATGTCAACAAAGCAGACCAAGCGTTGGATGTTGCCAGCTGTCTGATGTGTGTCGAGTATCATCCTATTTTACCAAACCTTTGCGCTGGAGGTGCGTTTAATGGACAGATAATCATTTGGGATTTGTCAAGAACTGAAGATATAGAAGTTTGTGTGTCAAAGAATGTTGAAGATGGTCACCATGAGCCGGTTACAAAGTTGTGTTGGCAGATTTCATCTAAATCGAACATGTTGTTGAGTCTTGGTATGGACGGTAAGATATTGAGATGGGAAGTAAAGTTGTCCCGTTACCAAGATCCTGAACTGACTCTAGTTCAGGGATTTGTTATAACTGGGGCTTACATTCCCCGTGACCACCCAACTGCACCTTCATCTAGAACTGCTGATATCGGCGGTACTGCAATGAGCTTCTCTCACGAGGACGAGAGCACGTTTGTGGTGGGCTCTGAGAGTGGACTTGTTCTCAAGTGCTCAACTCTGTCTACAGAACTACCACTTGACAAGGGAATCAAGATTCAGTTCCGATCTCCCATCACCCTGGTATACAACTCTCACAATGGACCAGTCTATGATGTGGATTTCTCCCCAGTCCACAGGAACCTGTTCCTGACAGCCTCTACCGACGGAACTATCAGACTCTACAACACTCTGCAACCTAAGCCATTCCAGGTGCTGGAACCCGTCTCTGGCTATGTGTTTGGAGTTCAGTGGTCGCCTGTACGTCCACTTGTGTTTGCAGCCATCACCGCTAATGGCTCACTCCTTATCTACGATCTGAAGAAAAGCAGAGTCGGCCCTGTCCTGCAAATCCCCGTCAATCAGACCAAGTCTCCAGTCTACTCGATAGAGTTCAACTCTAAAAGTGATACATTAAGTACAGGGGACAGTAAAGGTACCGTAAAGGTATGGAAACTGAGCCAGGGACTTTCATCTCAAATAAGAGGGGAGGTTAAAATGTTGGAGCGTATAGCTGCTTCCTCTTATGAGTGACATGTGGAATTTTCAATATTTTCTAGGGTCAGACTAGGACAAAACGTGAATCTGATAAAAGATGCAGGCATCTTGTGGTAGTTATGCAAAAATTGTAATCATTATTTAGCATATTTATTATTTATGTATATAATTGGTTCACCTGTTGATAACTTTTCTTGAATTCTTAAAAGGATTTTGAGTGTCATCAATCATTCCAGTTTGTTATAGCCCACAAAATATTGTGTCTTGCGAAATTATGTGTGTCAAATGTTTTGATGTGTTTCAGTTTTTAGCTCGTTTCAACACAAACTGTATGAATATCTAATAGCATGAGCATCTTGTGAAGACAAGTCGGATGAGTATAGAAGATAATCAGCAAGTTTCATCGGATTCAGAAAATGAAGAAGAAAATCGGGCTCTTCAGCCTCCAAGCCAGGAGGAGGAGGTCATCATCAGAGACTTAGTGAGTTTTTATTAAACTAATTATCATTATTTGGGAGTAACCGAGATGATATCATCATCTTCATTGTTTCAAATCTTATTTTTCGATTGTAAATGAAACACGGTTGAAAATCTAATACTCTTATTACAGTACCAACTTATGGAATTGATAATATTACCGAAACTAAGTTTCACTTTCACTTTCACTAGATTCCTCTTAGTGTATCCGAAATGGACTGAGTAGCGATAAGATAATAAAAGGTATGATGAAGCGGTCTGTACCCAGACTAGAGAATTTCTTCTCCGGACACTGCCAAATGATTCGATACAACTTCTTTCCCGGACTCAGAGAACTGGAGATCATGAGCCTGCCTCTTGATAGAGTACAGGGTCTCTCCGCTTGTGTGTCTCTGGAGAAACTGTGGATCTGTGAGTGTAAAATCAGGACCCTCGAGGGATTGGAAAAGTGCAAATCACTCAGGAAACTGTATTTGTACTCCAACCAAATACAAAAGATACAGGGGATTTCAAATCTATATAACCTAAATACCCTATGGCTGAACAACAATCTCATCAGAGAGATAGAGGGAATCTCCAAACTAGTGTCCCTGACTGACCTAAACTTAGCTTCAAACAAGATAACAGAGATAGGATCTTCTCTGAAGGGGCATCCTAACCTTGAGAGTCTGAACTTGTCTGGTAACATGCTCAGTTCTTTTAAAGATCTAACTAATCTTGTGGAACTGTCCAAGTTAAGGTAATTACTTTGTTAGTTAGTTGGCTAATGATTTCGATCCCATATTAAAGTGACACCGGACACAGTCACATATATAATAAAACCGTATATACATACCATTAACGACTATAGTGTAAAATATGAATATGAATAAAAACTCACAGAAAAGTAAAATTGAAACATTTGCAGGTTTGTGGGGTTGAAAGACCCTCTGTACCAAAGTAACCCGGTATGTTCCCTGTGTAACTACTCTACTCACCTTCTCTACCACCTCCCCTTCCTCAGTCATCTTGACACTATTGACATCAGTAACGGTCATCTTCAGAAGTTAGCTGAGGTTAGTTGTGAAGTTAGCTGAGGTTAAGTGATAAGTTAGCTGAGGTTAGTTGTGAAGTAAGCTGAGGTTAAGTGATAAGTTAGCTGAGGTTAGTTGTGAAGTTAGCTGAGGTTAAGTGATAAGTTAGCTGAGGTTAGTTGTGAAGTTAGCTGAGGTTAAGTGATAAGTTAGCTAAGGTTAGTTGTGAAGTAAGCTGAGGTTAAGTGATAAGTTAGCTGAGGTTAGTTGTGAAGTAAGCTGAGGTTAAGTGATAAGTTAGCTGAGGTTAGTTGTGAAGTAAGCTGAGGTTAAGTGATAAGTTAGCTGAGGTTAGTTGTGAAGTTAGCTGAGGTTAAGTGATAAGTTAGCTGAGGTTAGTTGTGAAGTAAGCTGAGGTTAAGTGATAAGTTAGCTGAGGTTAGTTGTGAAGTAAGCTGAGGTTATAATATGATAGCTATAAGCTATCAGTCACAAAGTTGATCAATCATCAATGTTATGATTAATTTGAGTCCTCATCAGGCAACAGTCCAAAAGAAGAAGATGTACTACACGATGCGCGTGAAGATGCTGCAGCGCAATCGCGCGGAGATGGAAGCGCGACTGTGTGAAGAGCGAAACAAGCTGGCTGCCTTGCCCTACGAGAGGGTACACGTTATGAACTGTTGTATTGGAGACATCAACCGGAGCAGAAACGATCGCGAGAATAGTCAGTTTCCCATTCAAAATCGCGAGAATAGTCAGTCTCACTTTTAATTTGACTTTGACTTTTACATTTTATTTGATTGTGTTTATCCGATAAACTTTATCGCTTCGCTCGATTTTATTTTAATTGTGGTGCAGTCAATTTCTAATGTTTCCTACTTATACTCAGAGGAACCAGAACTACTGTTTGGATTTTTCGAACCAGTTCCTCAGTTTTAACTCTATAGCTTTACATGTGTGATGTGATGCTGTCATGATACAGCAATTGGTAATCTAGCCATCTAGGTAACTACAACTTCAGATGAACATGGTCACATAGTTGACAAGTTATTAGGTCCCTATTTCACTTTCACTTTCATTTTGCAGGTGAACAGGAGCATGTCAGATAGTTTACAAATTATTAGGTCCCTATTTCACTTTCACTTTCATTTTGCAGGTGAACAGGAGCATGTCAGATAGTTTACAAATTATTAGGTCCCTATTTCAATTTCATTTTGCAGGTGAACAGGAGTATGTCAGATAGTTGACAAGTTATTAGGTCCCTATTTCACTTTCACTTTCATTTTGCAGGTGAACAGGAACGTGTCAGATAGTACTGACAAGTTATTACGACCCTATTTCACTTTCACTTTTATTTTGCAGGTGAACAGGAGCATGGTCAGATAGTTGACAAGATATTAGGTTTGAACTATTTCACTTTCACTTTCACTTTGCAGGTGAACAGGAGTATGATCAGATAGTTGACAATATATTAGGTCTCTATTTCACTTTCACTTTGGGATTTTCCATCTGTTTTAACTCTGATGCATTACTGTTTTAACTAGCATTAACTGTGATGTTGTCACGATAATTGGTAATCTAGATAATAACGACAGATGAACTGGAGCATGGTCAGATAGTTTCCAAGTTATTAGGTCCCTATTTCACTTTCACTTCACTTTGCAGGTGAACAAGAGCATGGTCAGATAGTTGACAAGTTACTAGCTTTAGAGGCTAGGGTGGAGCATTGGATTAGAGAGATCTCTAAAGTAGACTTGTGGCACCACAACGCCAAGTAATTGCCTCCTAATCATAATTATCATCTCATAACTGAAAACTTAAATATTAATTCTCCATTAACCGCATAAAAATACGATCGAAGAATCAAAAAGTTGTCCAAATTTCACTTCAAACATTTTATGTGTACATTTGCAGACGTTACATAGAGAAGGAGGTGGAAGGAACAATCAGCAAACTCATGTTAGAACTGGAGTGTGGTGGAAATGTTAGGCTTGAAGAGGGGCAGGTTGGGGACGTCTGGTTAGTTTCTCTTTCACTTTCACTCTGAAATATGAATATAATTATTCGATACGCTTTACTGGCAGTATCAGTTCTGTTCTCGATTATTCTATATTATTTACTAATTTAATCCTTATTTTCTCGTGCTGAGTCTGTTCGATCACAGTTCTGCAATAAATTCAGCTGATTTCTCTCATCTTTACTTTTCTTTACAGGTACAATTCGTGTGCTGAGCTGGTCCAGTCACGGTTCTGTTCTGCCGACTTCAAGAATCTCGGTATAACTGGAATAAAGATAAACCGCATCTTCCGCATCCATAACCGCATTCTTCGCGCTCAATTTGAGGAAAAACTCGACGAGCTACTGGGTAAGTCTTCAACTCTCAATTTTAATTATCTTAGTTTGGTTAGACATCTTCTATCAAGTTTTAATTACGTCTAAAAGTGAAAGTGAAAGTCACACCGAGGCGTATCCACAGAACGTGAATCACCAGCTGACCTGGCAAAGTACGGACTCTCTGACGCGCGCATTGTCACGTGGAAGTCAGTACCTTACAAGAGAATGTTAGAATACCTCTTCTATATCCACAATCCTAACATAGCTGAATCAGTGGGGAGTCTCAACCATATCCTGGAACGGGGATTCAGAAACGTCGAACATTACCTGGTACGTTAAAATGACATTACGTGATATATGATCAAAAATACCTGTGATATTGATCACACTATCTATAAAGTAAAAGAGAACTAGTGAAAGAGAAAGTGACCACACTATTCCCACCAGGATGCTGGAAGTGACGGCTGCATATCCCTGAGTAACTCGCTGTCTCTAGCTGAAGCTCCACGAATCAAGTACCTGAAGAAGCAGCGAGAGAGGGGGGACCATGAAGACAGTGCGGACCCGTGTATAGTCAGACATGGCCAGATTCTTATCTGTAAAACTTACATAGGAAACAGGTAGTCAGACATGACCAGATTCTTATCTGTAAAACTTACATAGGAAACAGGTAGTCAGACATGGCCAGATTCTTATCTGTAAAACTTACATAGGAAACAGGTTACTAATTTTCTGGGCCTCACTGTTGTCTTTGGATAGGGTAAATATGTACCAGGTTATATTATATTCCAGTATATATCAACCGGCCCGTGTCATTTCAGCGATCAATCATTTATCAAGTATCCACTTCGATAAGAAATGATACAGTTAATTAGTAAAGTAATTAATTAGTAAGTTAATTAGTAAAGTTACACTATCTCTGTAACACTGTAACACTTTGTAACACTCCTCTCTGTACCCAGTGAGGCAGCTAAAGAGTCCCACTGTCCCCTCACTAAATCCTCTTACCCCGACTGTGATAGTGTTTACAAGACTAAAGACGCCCTGCCACGCAGCTTCTCCTTAGGTAGTGGTGCTTGTGATTGTAGCTCGAGACAGTGTATATGGTGGGTGATTAACAGTCAATTAGTTGTTAATTAGCGATAATTAAATAAATCGATTGAACAAGTCTTACATATTTTCTAAAAGTTTATATCTAAAAGTATAATATTTAGCGCCAAATGGAAACACTGCTTTCACTATTATATCAACTGTTGTAAATCTTATAATCATGGTTAAGTAACACTAATCATGGCTAATTAATATTTAACACTAATACAGGCTAATTAACACTAATACAGGTATGTGTTTATGAAAGAGCTTGTTACCCCGGAGTACCTTGTAGATTACGAGTATGTCACAAACCCTCGCTCCTCACCCCTTTGTGGTTCTGTCTCTATCTGCTACAACAACGGCAAGGAGGAGGTCTGTCTCACTTTTACTTTCACTTTCATTATCATGTTTCTCAGTGGCTCTGTCTTTACCATCAGTTGGGATTTAAACTGATCAGAAAATGTAAGTTGTAGTTAACTAATAACAGTTGTCATGACAACAGGTGTCCATAGTACAGTCCTCGGATAACATGCAAGAAGAGTTGTGGTGCAGGGAGGTCAAGACAGACGAACAAGTCCTCGACATGCCTCCTACCTTCGAAAAGGTTATTTACTTTCTGTTTCACTTTTAGTTTCACTGTCATTTTCTAAATCTAATATTTTAAAAAAACTTTCACTGCTTTTTCCTACCTTTTATAGTTAATATTTCCAGATAAGAGAGTCTAATTTGTTGATTGGAGGGATAGAGAAGTTATCTTCGGCCAAACACTTCCAAACAGTAACGCAAATCAACTTACACAATCAGGTAACATTCACTTTCGATACCTTTGTTTCCATTTTAAAACTTGTTCATGGCAAATATAAGTTTGAGGACCCTAGCTACTCTCACTTTCTTCACTTTCACTTTCACTTTCACTTTCAATTTATCTTTCACTTTCAGGGTTTAAGAAGTGTAAAACAGCTGTCAGCACACCCGACCCTAAAGAAGTTGGTACTGAGTTTCAACCAGTTGGAGGGTCTAGAAGACTTTCATCACATGGATAGTCTGGAAGACCTCGATATCAGTTTTAATGGTCTTACAACTCTTGAAGGACTTCGGAGCCTCACCAATCTTAAAACTCTTAATATAAGGTTCTGCTCCGTTTAAAAATAAATAAACATAATATTTATGATAATATTTACGTCAGTTGGACGTTACCTCTTTTATCATCATAGTTGAATGTTGAATGTAGATTTTGTCAAAGATTTGGTTTACGAATAATCCAATTAGTAAATTACCCAATTAACCGCTAAATTACTCGCTAGTTGGAACCTTCTGACGATATCCCGAGAAGAGGTTCACACGATGAGGAAGCACACACCTTCTCTTCAAACACTGGACATGAGACATAACCCCTGGATTAAGAATGATGGACTCAGAGTCAGGGTGATCGGCAGGTTAAAAGGACTGACTGTACTGGATGGGGAGATGGTCAGGGAGGAGGAGCTGACTCAAGCTGCTCATCTTGCATCTATGAGGTTCTATTTATGTACTATTTATGTACTATTTACTATTTACTAAGATAACTGCGACCTTACCCACAGGTTGAGGTGATTGCATTCTGACTTTGCCCCCAAATTCAAACTAAAGGTTTCTACGAATCTATGAAAAGATAATATATGATGAATTGAAGTAATTATTTCCATGAGTGTAGTAATAAAACTTGGTATCTCTTTCAGTCGTATCTCAGTAGGGACCCTCCAAACATGTTGCAAGACCGCACAGGCTCCACCTCGAACTTTGGATCTCAAGTCTACTGCTCAGTGTCTCAGTTACAAACTGTAAGTTACTGGTTCCCTCATCTTAGGAAATATTTCTATAATATGTAGTTCGTTCCTAATCTATTTTTTAGAGAGAAATTCACAGTTTTATTTTGACATTATTTACTATTTAGTTATGAATATAATTGCCCAGTTCCCTAAAACCGGAGAGTAATGAGTTAGACCCACTGTGGTGGAGTAAAGTTACCTCCCTCTGCCTGGACGACCAACACATTTGTAAACTCAGCAACCTCGACAAACTGGAGAACCTCAAGGTAGACATTATTGTTGCTGCTTTGCTACTGTTTTAAATACAATTAATACAATATGTTTAATCCCAAATATACTTGATTAATAGCTTAACTTTGAGTGTTAATGTGTTATGGCTTAGAGTGTTATGGCCTAGAGCTGATCTTGAAACTGTTGAATCTCTTACACTATAAACTGTTGCAAGAGCGACCTTTCAGTAGCTTTTAATCTACGTTATCGTTTGCAGTGGGCCAGTTTCGAGAATAATGAGATAGCAAAGATAGAGGGACTAGACTCGTGTACAAAACTGGAGGAACTCTCACTCGCTGGAAACTGTATCTCCAAAGTGGAAGGTTTCTGTATATATATTATGTTTTATCGATATTATACTTTTTGTTACTATTACTTTTACTTAGTACACTAATGTAACATGATTTAGTTTTTTGAAGATTTTAGCAAGTACTAGTAGCTTCAGGCAGCAACGGCTCTGTATTCGGTAATGGTAGTAGTAACTACACAATAATATCTCAAAGTTCACTCTCATTCTGTTGGTTCTTTGATCTGTTCCATAACAACATTTTCACTTTTCACTTTTACTTAAAACCCCCACATGTCACGTACATTTCATGAATAGATAGATAATTAACTGATAATTAAGGCTGGTTGATAAGATTATTGATGGATAAACAAACATTTAACAAGGTCAATTAACGATTTGATATCTTATAATACTAATTGATCTGCAGGATTGGCACGGTTGACAAAGTTGCAAGTACTGCACCTGTCTAATAACATAATAGTGTCATTGGAAGGAGCGGGTCTGGAGAAACTGACGAAACTGTGGCATGTCAGCCTGGAGAACAACAACTTACAGAACTTGACTGGTCTTCAGGTTCCATGTTAATTGTTATTGTATCAGTAATTAAATAATCATATCTATATTATATTTTATATTTATTTTTTAAATGATTGGGCTAATTAAAAGGATCAGGCTGGTAAATTCTGGTAGTCATGTGGAATCATTGGTTCTGATAAAGTACCCAGGCCCATCTACAAGGTTATCAGATCCAGACTCGTTTTCAGAGGATTTGTCCATTTGGATGGTGGCCGGGCCACCAGGTGGCCCTTCTAAGATTGACTCGACTGTTAAAGATATCTGAGTTATGTGTATTGAGTGGGTAAGATTTTGGCCGGGCCAGGGATGCTTTCTTCTGCCAGGACTGGGGAGACTCCCGGCAAAATCTAATGGGGGGGGGGGGGCGGGGGGGGTATTTTTTTGTCGTGGCCGGTGGTAAATCAAATAATTGTTCCGTGCTCAAATTTTTCGTCTCAAATATGTTGAGCCAAAATTTTGTGTCTGAATTTTGCAGACGTAAAGGTTAAAGATGCCAGGGAAAAATAGGTTAACCGAGAAATGTGACTGTTACCTTTTTTAGCTGTTTCAGTTATTATCGCTATCTCAAATACAGCAATCGTACTACTCATAATGAGCTTCACCCTGTTTCCATATTTACAGCCAGATAGAAGGCGGGGTTGGTCTGGAGAAGCTTTACTTGTGTAGACTGCGAGGGTGATACTGGATCTGCTACCCTCACAGTCTTTTTCAGAGCAGGTCCAGGTGTAGCTAAGACCACCAGAGCTTTTGTAGACATTCACTTGTTTAACACAGTGTTCCTGGTCAAGGCTTAACTGTAACCATCCGTTGCCATCCGGTTGTGTGCGGGAGTAGGTTTCCAGGTCCAGGTCTATAGCAAGGTAGGCATATTGTCCATCAATTGTGCTGGATTGTCTAGAGCTTACTGGAGTTACCTCGCCAGCGAGTCTCTCTCTTGTTACTGAAAATAAAAGGCTGGAATATTTTGCTGATGAATATTGAAAAGGTCTAGCCATGTCTTTAAAGTTTATTTTTCAAATAACTTGATAGAATTTGTAGGATTAAATTGCGCCCTTTTCCACCGGTTATGAGTGATGATATTGATCATGTCAGGCAACTTACTACAGAGAGACAGCGAGATGATTTGTAGGAAGAACAGCTGAAACATTGACATCGTTTCTACATTCCTGGAAGAATAAATGGTCAGCTGTGTATCACGTACTTCAACAAATGTTTAATTTCTAGGGTCGTTTAGAAGGAAGAATGCTAGTTGAGTCTATCAATAACTGAGTATGCTAAACGAGAGGTCTAAAAGCGCAAGCAAAGGTGTGGGGAGGGGGAGGAGGTCCAAACACCAACATAGTTTAGAATTAATGAGGTGATCTAAAAGCTTCCTCTCACGTCAATAACGTTAACAAATGCCACGCGTTCAACATGGACAAATTACCAGCCGTCTATCTGAGCCAATCACTTGTTGTCGGCAAGCCTTGGTTGATGGAATGGCTTCATTTTCAGAACATATTGTTCATTGGTCTATATTCACGTAAGGCAAGCTTTGCGTCCACAAATTTTTTATTTTAAAATATTATTCTATATAATATATTATATATGTCTGCATAGTAAGAAATATTTATTTGGCTGCAAGCTCTTAGCTCTGGACAGTATAAGCTGGCTATGAAAATTTCTTAAAATTCAGATCGTAGCCGGTCACCAACCGGCTTTGTCGTACGATCCCAATCCTTTGCAGCTCGTAGCTCTGCTCAAGATCTCCCTAAGAAATGCATAAGAATTGAGAGTTCAGGCATGACGCGGTAGGGCAGCGCCCTTCAATAACCGACTTTGATCGGAATATACCGAAGTGGTGGTTCGTCAGCGAGGCTAGAGTTGAGAAATAAAGCATTAATATCTATTTTATCGTTGTAATTCATATATATCATAACCCTAACAAAGTTGAGGAATATCACCATGTAATCTGTATTCAATATTCATGATCATACTATTTGCAGATTCCCTCCCTGATAGAGGTGTACGTTGGTAACAACTGTATCCAGAGCAGTCACGACGTATTCATGCTGAAGGTAGCTACAGTAACTTGTAAACTGTATAATTGTTGTATAATTCTGGTTACTTAACAATCCATACAATTTATTAGTTACTAATTTACAAATTAATTGATAAGCTTGTATCCCTATCACAGAGTCTACCCTCGCTGCTAATTCTGGACATGTACGGTAATCCAATAGTAGACAACATGTCAGCTTATCGTTCCTTTGTCATCTACCATCTGAAGAGTTTACGAGCGCTGGATGGTTCTGCTATTGAATCCTCTGAGGTAGCTACTGCAAAAGAGAACTATGGTGGCAGGTTTGTGTTTTATATAGTGTTTCTTTTGTACCCTTTGTACCTTTGTACCTTTGTACCTTTTGTGAGTCACGTAGTAAATATCAAATTTATGTATCGAGAAGAATTATATAATATACTTTAAAATAAAATGAAGGATTGCATAATTATTTGTTATATATTTTCTTCTCATAGGTCTTTATGCGGATCACGTGATCAATGCATCGTGACTCTTAGTGTTTCTATTGATATCTCATGTGACTAATAAGTAATAACTAAACGTCTCATTTCCCACACTTTCAGGTTATGTGAAGACTTCATAGCAGAACATCTGGGACACAGTAACTTCTTAGAAGTGAGGGAGATAGACTTCCCTAATCTGAGTATAAGAGTTATTGATCTGGGGAACGGAGCTCGCTTTAAACACCTTAGAAGGTTTGTTGCAGTGTTTGTCTGTTATGTTCCGGATATTTTTCAACATCAATTTGTAATAATATATTATGCTCTCAAGTTAAACCAAAACTTATCAATTTTTTTACTTTCCTACTTTCACTGTAAACAGTGAAACTTAATATGATATAATGATCCATTAGATAATAGATACCAACTGGATATTTCCAACTGGATATCTAGGTCGTGGCTCCACGACCTAGATATTACTATATGATTATAATCTTTAAATTGTTTAACTTATAATATCCTCTATGTTTTCAGTATAAACCTAGAAGGTAACGCGCTGACATCATTTGGGGGTCTAATACAACTAGAGAATGTGAAGGTCTTGTGTTTAAATCACAATAACATTGAAACTCTGAGTGGTAAACCCCCGGGGGGTAAGGGGAGGGACCCCCCACCTCCTCAACTAGACACAGTTCCTGTTATGCCCAAATTAGAGGTCCTACATCTGGGGTTAGTTGAAAGCCACTTAATATAGCTTGATATTACATAGCTTTCTTGAATATGGTTTAAAGTACAACCTTGTTGAACACCAATCAACCATACATTTGTACCAAAGCAACTATCACAGTCAATTTAAAACGCCAATCCTGTGTAAATCCAGTGTAAATCCTATGAAGTGTAATATTATTTTATGCAGGTACAACGGGATTTCAAACCTAACTTTACTTCAACTATACCGACTACCAAACTTAAAAAGTCTCTTCTTACAAGGCAAGTAAAATAATACGCTGTTAATTGTCTTTATATACGGTAGTTATAGTGTTACCATGACAACCCTCACCTCAAAACAATACTTTACAAGTCAAATGTATATTGTATATGATATTGTTACACAAACGTGGTTAAAGATAACCAGGTCAACGGTGACCTTGAGCTTGATTAACAACCACACAAACTGTACAGTTACTTCGAATAAACGTATTTTATTGCAGTTGTGTTATGTTCGTTTAAATATTGTGGTTATTTACCATTGTGTTTGTCTGAATTCTGATAGGCGCCGATTTCTAGTTATTTCTAGTTATCAGGATAATCTGTGACTTATGCAATTTACAGGGAATGACATTGTAAATGTTGAAGGACTCAACCAAGTTAAAGAACTAAGAGAACTAGTTTTAGATAGAAACAAAATTAAGGTAAGTGGTCAGTTCTTATTGTGCAAATTTAAAGATTTGAGATCGCGCAATTAAAGTTTCTTCAGTATACTAAAAAGAAAGGAAACTCTACGACATGCACAAAATATCGATGATTTCACAAAGCACATGGTTTTAAAACGACAATATTTTTGAAGACTGTGTTAACAGCAACAATTCTGCAAAGGTCGCCAAAGTACTAGCAAACATTGTCCTTAAGTATAGTGTAAATAAACTGCTGATTCAGCGTGTATAACATGTTTTGCGCGCGCGGCACTCTTAACCATGCATGACAAAATTGAAGTAACTAAATACATAGTAGTAAATACTACAACATCTTCTACATTCATTCAACATCCAATAACATCTTATCCATGAAGATGTGTCCAGTAATTAGAAATTTGCCAGCTGCCTATATGAAACAAGCTGTTCATGTAGTGTCTCAGACCTTCAACTTGAAAGCTTGCCGCTTGATCTAAATCAAAAATAGTTTGATATAAAATACAAAAGTGTCCTTTTGATGGGTTGATTACATTTAAATTAATATAATTACTGTTATAATAATGCGATCATATCGGTTCAAAGAAGAACAATTCCTATTCAAAAGAGCTGAGAAACTGACAGTTGTAAATACATTTTTTTACGATGGCAGATCGCTAAGTAGTATTGAGTATAGCTGTATCTTTAATCGGCTCAAAAGTCTGTCTTTTCTGACTGAGCGAGCATTAAGATTCGTAAAATGAAGTTAATTAATCATTTTTCAGTGTTTGTCAGAAACGTCATTCTGTGATCAATGGAATTTACTCGAACTACACATTGAAGAAAATAGGTGAGTTATTCTACTTTTAATTTGCAAATAACATTTAACCTTCACAACTAAAGACTTCTGATTGTTCAAATAGCACATATAATATATTCAAATTTCAAGGAAAAAAAACATAACATAATAAAACGAACTCTAATCAACTGTCCACTGTTCAATACTTTTTATCAGTTTCTCTTTCACTTTCACTTTCACTCCCGATCACAAAGCATTTTTAGTAGTGTCAGTGGGTACAAGTGATCTACACCTCTCCCTGCACAGTGGCTGTCTGTGGGGACTGGATGACAGTTTCATGTTTGCTAGTGTTTTGTTCTTCTTCAGTCCCTTTACGTTGCAGGGTAACACGTCGTACGTTAACTGGGACAAGAGTGTGGGTTAGAGATGGGGGAGGGGGGGAGTGCAGTGGGGGTTACGTTAGGGGTTGGGGTTACAGGGTGCAAAGTAATATCGATATACATATATAACATAATATGTGATAATAAGGAACTATCAAGTGTCTAAATTAGGAGAGTTTAGAGAATGTCGAATGAATCACATTTCTCTGAAAAGTGGTGCACACGTGGTCTCTGTGGTGAGGTTCAGTTATCAGTGTACTGTAACCCCCCCCCCCCCCCCCCATTAACCGTGTCACCCCCACCCCCCCCCCCCCCCCCCACTAACCGTGTCACCCCCCCCCCCCCCCTACTAACCGTGTCAAACCCCCCCCCCCCCCCCCCCCTACTAACCGTGTCACCCCCCCCCCCCCCCCACTAACCGTGTCCTGTTTTTCTTGCTCCTCCTTTAGAACCGGCTTGTAGTCCGCAAATAATCTGGCTCCGTGTTTGCTGTAGAAGTTAACTCTCTTGTCCTTGTAATCATTAGCGTCCCATCTGTACATTTTACATTGTAAACAGATAAACAGCGTATAAACAGCGTATAAAAAGTTTACAAAAAGTATTACCTACGTATATTTTGAATTCTCTGAATGACAAAGTAACAGAAATTGTGAGATGATTGTGCGTTACTAACCTCAATATCTTATATGGTTCCTCCGTAGCTTTAAGTAGAGATACCAACTTGTTCTGGATGTAAGCTAGCATCTTTCTGGATACCCACGTATCTCTGGATGGGTCAGTTTGTTATAATATTAGTAATTTCTCCAAAACAAGAAAAAAGCTACTCAGAGTGGGATTTTGAGATCTGGTTATACATTGATCTGTTCTATTGCTGAAAAATTTCTCGAGAAAGCTGAGGGGATAGAGCGAAAAAATCTCCTCTGTAAGAAATAAGTTGGTGTTACCTGAACGTAGGATGTACAAAGATGTCCTCTACAAGAAGGAAGATTGTGTCCATCTTAACAATGTTGTAAAGACAGTAGCCCACCAGTATTTCATTTCCCTGTGAGTTATAGACAGCCACTATAGATTGGGTGACTGGATTAGGATGGAACAAAGCTTCCAGGAGATCGTGTTCCGAGAAGTATAGCTCTGAGGGAAGATAGTTATAGTATAATAGCACTATGTTTACAGTATGCACTGAAGGGGTATCCTAGGAAGTTTCTTGAACTTTTAACAGGTACCCCTCCTCATTTAACCCTCAATTAAGTTTCCTATCATTCGACTGAGTCGACCGAGGAGATCGCTCATCGCATAGATCCAATGGATCCTTAGCTACTCCCTAGACTAGGTGACACTGGGATTCGAACCCTGAACCTTCTGTGCAGAAGGCGGATGCTCTAACCACTAGGCCACCTAGCCCCTATAGTTCACCTAATTTGTTAATTATAATAATTAGTTAACAGGGTTCAGATATCATAAGATAAAGTGTGAACCACCTGCTCTAATTATAGTAACTAATTAGTATTAGATCATTATTTAATTATAGTATCTAAATAGTTCTCAGTAGATTATATAGCAGATACAATAGTCTCTCCGTCACACTTACTGCTCTCCTCCTGGGACTCCCCGTCCTCAGGGAAGAAGGAAGACATGAGCTCATAAATCTTCCAATTATCACGTGACCTAGCCTCTCTGACAGAGTAGTTGTCCGCATTTCCCGTGTCCTCCTCAGCTTCTGTGTTCTTTCCCACACTCTCAAACGACTCGGTTATCCGGGACATTGCTTGAAACATGGTGCTTTTCATCTGCTCTCCCAACCTCATCTGGACAGGAAGTTACTCAATGTGAAAGTGAAAGTGGAAATGATTCTTAATAGTGTTATGTAGGTTAATGTAGATGTTGAAAGTGAAATTAAAAGTAAGAGGGACCTCGCTTAGATATTGGATCATCGTGCATTTTATTTGGTCTCCGGAACTAGTTAATAAAACCTCATACGCAGGTTAAAGAGTTTGTCCAACTTCCACCCTCTCCAAAAGTTACAAAGACTCTACTTAGGAATGAATCGAATTCAGGTTGGTGATATTTAAAGTTTCTATAGACCTTCATTTTTTTCTAATTCAAATTCTTGTCAAATAACAACAACGCATTATCCTTACACCGATAACCGAAATATCAAATAGCATTAAATTGATTGAATTGATTGGTCATGAAACAAAATTTTCTACAGTAAACAAAACTATGATAAATGGATGATTTAAGAAATAACGGTTAGTCTTTCACTTAATCTGAAGTGAATTTTTCGTCCTCGTTTTCGAGATTTTCAAAAACTGCACAAATTTTATTCAGGTGCATAATGCATACACAGGCAAGATTCTTCGGGAAATTTGTAGAGGTTTTTTGGGAATTCAAATTGAGTTTAATAATAATGCATATCATGAAACAATATTACCCGAAGTTACAATTTTTTTTAAAGCTTGATAAAATTGTTAAATTAGCAGCTGTGAAAGAGAAAACGTTTCCCAAATGAGGGCAGAATGTATAAAGCATTACTGATAAAGCCTAGTTCAGACAATATACAGAGATGTATTAAAGCAATACAATTTAACGGCCATTCAGCGATGAGAAAACGTTCTCTCGACCAATAGAAACCTTGGGAGAGGCCCGGATGTCAATGAGATAAATCTGGAACGATCTACCTGAATCAGCCAATTCATGATGTACGTTTTATAACCAATGAGACGATTTTACTTCTAGCTTGCAAATTTCGAAATTATAGAATTAATTTCCTAATTCTGCAATCAATTAATTTGATGATTTCGTTGTAACGTCTTCATAAATCAAGCTGAGATTATGAGTAATTTCCTGCAGGGTTTTGATATATGAAATGACTAAAAAAAGCAGAAAAAACCAATTATAATATAGTACGACCTCAAATGGATTTAATGATAGAATTTCAGTAAAATAAAGTCAGTCAATTTAATCACGTCATCAGAAAAGGTTGGGAATGATGATCAACAGATATGAGATGTGAGCAAACGGTAGTGCTAATGATAGATCTAGTGTATGATATTTTATAAATACTGATATCTGGATAATATCCGGCTGGAAGAGACAAGGAGAGACAAGGTCCTTGTCTCTTCCAACCGGATATTATCCAACTATCAGTATTTCAATCATGAGACTAATAAACAGCGAACTACTCATCATTTGACATTTTATAAAGTTATAAGTGGGTAATTTTGTACTCATTTCAACTTCACTTGATTTATTAGCGTGGTAGCGTTATTATTTAAACAGTGTCAATGTTTTAGAGATCATCTAGAGTTTAGTTAGACAATAATTATTATTTTATACTAATTACAATCATAAATCTTGATTACGCCACATCCCAATTATCTTCCTCTAGAATTTGGTGTGTAAATTGGTTTTTTTCTAGTGTAATTGTTTTCTAATAACATTTTAAGTCCAACTATTTCTGTGACACGCGCCTTACAAATCCAGTTATTAAGCGTCGAATATTTGTAACAGATTTGATTTCGACTGAAATGTCAGATAAAAACGTAATTTTAAACTAGTCCTGTTCAGTCAAAACATTAAAATGGAGTTGGAGTTTAGCCATCACAAAATAAAACGACTGGAACATTTATTTCCTGTTTCAAAGCATTACGTTCGATAATGACCCTGACATACATTTGATGAATACTTTTTGCACATATGACGTTGACAATTATAACACCTCTAAGGCAGGCTACCAGATTATTCATTATGTTACTTGAAGTTGAGCTTATCACGAAGTTAAAATTAATTTATTAAGTTTGCTTTGTGTTTGTCAATATCTTTTAATTTCGATTCAATTAGAATCAAATCAAGGAAATTCTTGACAAGAGTTGCGATAAATAAAACCCTTTTTACCTATTGTAAAGTGTAAAGCGAGACATTTTCACGAACTTATTGTCCTAAAAAAGCCTTTATTTCAGGACTTGGCGGAGCTAGAAAAGTTGGAATGTTTACCAGCGCTCAAAGAAATATCTCTTACCAACAACCCGGTATTTACTATTTTTTCTACAATTTCACAACCTCGGTTTAAGTAGCTGAATACAAAATATTTGACTAAGAAGCGCTGACAGAGTATCAACTCGACTGCAAATTACTAACAATACCAGTTAGTGGAATTATAAACAAAAACTAATTAGTAATCAATTAATCGGCTGTATTAACACTAATTATGATTGTGCGTACAGGTGGCACGAAGGTTAATGCACAGACCGTTACTAGTATTCAGACAGCCCAATCTTCTGTCTATAGATGGAATCCCCATTTCGGCTGAAGAGCGGGCTAAAGCAGACATGTACTTCCTCGATTACCAGGTTATTATCTTATTATAAGTGTCATTAACAGTGCTAAATAAACTGTTTAGTTTGCAGGTATGTTATTTTGTGGGATAAAATGCCAAAAACCAGGGGTTATGTTAAAAAATGTAAAGTTTCGTAGAGTCAAGTCGCTATACGTGACGTCATTGCATGGCGCATGTGATGTGACGTTACTGCGCGTGGTATGACGTCACGTGAACGATTTCCTCATTTCAGCCGGTGGAGCAGACGACTAGCTCAAATCTGCCGGGTATAAGCAATAAACTACACGGAGTTGCACACTCTGGTCTTGTCAGTCAGGTTCCCAACCAATCAAACCCTATCCGAGTGAGTGGTCTTTTCACTTTCTCTTTCTCCTTCGCTTTCTCTTTCACTTTCACTTTCACTTTCACTTTCACTTTCACTTTCTCTTTTATAAAAGAAATATTCTTTATTCGTATTGTTCATTTCACGTTTTTAACAGTTTCTCTTTTTATTCCACTTATATTATATATCAGTTATAAGTTTCTCTTTCTATTTAACTTTCTCATTCTGTTTCCCATTTATTTTGGTTGTCTTACATGACTTCAATGCAATGTGCTGACTGCTGAAGGAGGGTCATCAAATTCCAACCTTCCAATGTCGCTGTGATCTGTATTTCGATAGATATTTTCGATCGAAAATTGTACCATAAGTACCGAATATGTAACAAATAATTAACAAATATGTTAAGAATTCGTATTATGCGTATGAATTATGAAAGGTACCAAATGTTCCAGATGTCTTCACGAGCTCTCCCTCACGACATAGAAATAGCGTACAGAGTTCCGGCATTGAATAATGTCGTGTTCGTAAGTCACGTGTGAGGTTGTCACGTGTGAGAACCTCTGTCTTTCCGCTAACTAATCACATGTCAGCAAGATCGATCTGAAAATTTGTTTTAATGTCCTATAATTCAAAATAACCGTTCAAAAATCAGATAATTTTTTGTTTTTAAGTGTGTTCGAATCAATATTTGTATTTGATGATTATAGATTGGCGATGGATTGAAAACTCTTGCGTTGTCCACATGTTTACATATAGAATATATGTTTAATCTGAAAGATTGAAATATTAGTGATTCTGTTCGTTTGGATATTTATCAGATGGTTGAACTGATTTTATTTCAAAACTATCTCATTCTACTTGTATAAACATTTGACAAAATTCATAAACAGCTACGAAATAAAGCTTACATGCTTTACATTTACAACTTACATTGCACTAATATATTGCACTTGCCTTACAGTTACATCACACTTAAATTACCGTTATTGCATTCACATTTACATTACACTTACATTGCACTTGCAGGGAGCAACAAACTTACCCTTGGGAGCAAATCAGACCTGGTATGGTAACTACAGAGAATCCGACAGTGCTATTGACACCAAAAGTTAGTAACGTCACTTAGTTAATTTACATATTATTATAATTTTATGTTGTGTGTATGTTGTGTGTATGAAATTTAAACATTTGCAAATGGTAAAAACATTGTTACCGAATCGACGATCAAGTTTGGACTCTGATAATTTCAGAGACGGATTCCAACAAAAAGGCTACGAGGGAACGGAACTTTTATCTTGATCCGCAAAACAGTTCAAGGTTAGACTATTCGTTCAACTAATTGTGACAACGTTGTGATTAACGTTCATTATACGTCTTAATCTGAATTATAAAGTTGATTCTATGTTTAGTGATTGTACAGCACAGATCGTTCAAATAATTATTGAATAAACGTTTACAAGTGTATTTCTTGCGTGATTTCTTTTTACCATTCATCCGGTATCATCATGTTTACAAATACGATTCAGTTGACAGCAGAAGATATGCATGAATGCATTTTTCATAATATTCTGCCCTCCAGCACGATTTTCTCTTTCTCAATATTGTTCCATATTTTGTCCTCTAAAAACATATATTTTCCTCTATTGACCCTCTACGTTTCTCTCTAGGTTTTCCTCTATATTATCATTTATGTTGCCCTCTTTAAATGTCCTCTATGTTGACTCCTATGTTGTCCTCTAAAAAACATATTGCCTTCTACTTTTTCTAACCATACTGTCCCTTAACGCGGACACCCCAGTTATTCCCGTCAGTTGCCCACCCTAGATGCCTCCGCCCTGAGAACAAGTCCTACAGCAGTGAGAAACCGAGGAATGGTCAATGTCAGGCTCTCTACTAGGTCACTTGCTAGAGACTTGGGTCTCTTTTCTGAAACTAACAAGTGGAAAACTGACCGATCTGCGTTCAGCAGTTGATAATCTACATGTGGTGTGACGTCACGTTGCCTGGGTGTGACGTCACGGCAGCTTATAATCTGACGTCTGTTGATCATCAATGTTGCGTGTTAAATGTTGAATGATAGCGTGTTTTAGTTTTACAATCTACATGTGTAAATTATGTGTTTAAAATTCAACTTTAGAATATGTTAAGTTTGGGAGTGTGAATTTGAAATGTTTTTCAACTGCTTTTAGATTTATCTACATTTTTATTTACCACTTTTATTTACATAATTCCTAAAGACTTAAAGAAACAGACTTTAGTCGCTTTGATGCTGATAGTAAAGCATATTGCAGGCAGTTATACACACGCAGGTACCAGTGACTGAGCGAAACCTTTACCATTGTGATAACACCGTAACCATGGTGACGAAATCATGTCAGTGGACAAGTTTCAGATGATCGAAAAAGTTTTTTCACATATATTTAAAATGCTAAGAATGAACTGTGAACGCTTAAAGTTAAAGTGAGACAATGAACGTTTATTTCTGTAGTTTTATTCCGATGTAACTTATTAGGCTATTAGCTGTAAATTTATAATTTGTCTAATGGTGTCATTAAATTTAATCAGTTTCTAAGGCGTACAAAACATTTGACCCTCAATCATGGCCATAAGGTTTTGATGAAGTTGATGCATTCGAGTGATGAAACAAGCATATTGATGTACAGTGGCCGGGGGGAGGCCTTATATAACATAGCTATGATTCATATTTGAAATGAAATGAGGTATTTATATCCCGCTCATATGATTAACCAACAACACAAGGAAGGTGTTTAACCATGCCAGAGCGGCTGACTGTGAGTGATTTGAGACCTGTAACTTTGCAGATGTGAGATGGTTGATGTAACTACTCATTCGAGGAATTTGTCGCCAATTTGAAAAAACGATCTAAAAAGATGGCGCGAAATGGATTTAAAATAACGAAGTTAACAAACGATCTGTTTATCGTTAGCAAAATTGAACGGGTAATCATGAATCATGTGATAGCGTGCTCTTGGCCTTGCCTCTGCACGATTTCCACCTGATCCCGCATAATGAATAAGCTCTTTATGCTTGACGTATGTGTACTGACCTTGCCCCCCCCCCCCCCCCCCCCCCCCCCCCCCCCCATTGAGCAGTTTTTTCTACGTTATACTTATAGTTCTGAGTTCATAGTTGTTAATGTTACACTACTATTCATTTACACTTACAGCTACAGCTAAAGCTCAGATCTAATCGTTATTCGTTGTCGCTAACTTATTACAATTACGAATTTTGTACTTCTAGATTGAATTTAAGAGATTTATTGTACTTGTATTATTTGTAATCATAGTCATTTAATTAAAACTATTGTATTTTTGAGGCACAATTAAGTTTTTAATCAAATTATAAGAGTCTGATTTATATTAACTAGCAGGAACCCGTATAACCCTAAAATGGCGTCAAGACTCAATAGACTAAAATAATTATTACCTATTTAATTCGCATTTTTGACACCACTTGGGGGTCCAAATTTTGGGCTCTAAAACTCCTATTTCTTGGCCTATTTTTTATTTTTTCATGCTGATTTGGTCTTGGAGGCCATTAAACTTAAAACATTTGACCCAGTCAAAAAAGTTTCAGGTGTGTATCTTTTACGGTTTTTGCGGAAAGTCGCGTTAAAGTTGATGCCGTGCTGTCAGTAAAATGGTACGGATAAACTAAAACACATATATACATACAGGGTGGGCCAAAAGTCAGTACCCATACGTTGGCCTTTATAGCTCAGTCACTGATTGCCCAATTTAAATACTTCTTTCTGGTATGACTTAGTACCACCACTGGTTCGAGGAATTTGTCAACTCGAAAAATATTCGCGTTCATTTTTTTCAAATGGAGGTTCATTTTCACATTTATTTGATAGTTTGGATAGTCGGATCAAGCTAAATGTTATTGAATTGTGTTTGGCCATTCGAATTACGTTTGTCCTGAAAGAATTAGAACTGTAGCTTCTCAGATGACCGAGATATGAAGCATAACGAGTTTATTCATTACGTGTGATCAGGTGATTGGTTTACCTAATCACGTGATAAGGTGCCCCCGTTAACTACCCCGTTAAACATTATGGGAATTGTTAAGGGTGCCCAATTAAGGTGTCGTGTCACGGTGTCACATAATCACCCAGTCAATATTGTTAACGAGATACAGAAAATGCTTGATAACTTCGTCATTTCTAATCTGTTTTGCCTCATGTTTTCAGATCATATGCAACATTTGATAATCTACCGTCTCTGAAAAAATTAGGCGTTCAGCATGTTCAGAGAAAACAATATAGGTGTTTTAATATTGAATGGGCGTGGTCTAAAATATTCGAATTTTCAAATTTTGACGACGGAATCCTCGAACCAGTAAGTACAGTATGCCATCTGCAAAGCAACAGCTCTCAAATATAAAACACGGCGGAGCTATTAAGGCCAACATATGGGTACTGACTTTTGGCCCACCCTGTATATATATCGTCTCGCTTTATACATAGTATTAGTAAGATAGGCAGGAGCGATTACAATTTTTCGTACGTGGCATTTCTATTGCCAGATTATAACGAAACACCTCGATCTCTACTTGTTTGTTTGTTTATAGAACCCGTCCCCAATCTCGTATCAGAAAATGACTAAACTCAGGTCTGAGTGTGAATACGGGTGGTACCTACAAGTGTGATCATTAAGCATTAGACATTAGAGTTCTGTAAAACTGCAGTTACAATTGTGCTAGAGTATTTTTAGTATATACGATTGGTATCAAATATATATCCCTACATGCTTCCAAAATTTTTAATCTCCAACTTTCTGCATAATGTACTGGAATGTTTTGAAGAAAAAAAGAAAGTGATATATAAATAAAATCAACGATTTAATGTTAGGAAGGACAAAATTAATTACGTGGTTTCTTAAGTCAGCTTTAAAGTCGGAAAATCAAAGTATGTAGCGTCGATACCAAACCGATTATTGAGAGATGATAGCTAAATAGTTGGTTCATGGGATAAAGATTACCTGAGGACCCCAGGCTATTATGTTCATTAAAGATTTGGCGGAATGACAGGCTGAGCGCGGCCCAGTAAGATAAAGAGTCCTCCGGTCCTGACTTCGATAAGAGCTTGCGTCATTTAGCATTTAGACATTGTCATACACAATACACATCCTTTTTCAAGATGCCGAGAAATTGCACTCTCCGTTTTTTGTCGAACTCCAAAAACTGAATTATGAATTAATATGTGTGTGTGATGTGTTTTCTTTTGAACATACGTGTAACGTGACATTTGGAATTTTATATTCGATTTAGCCGCTATATAATTATAGGTACGTTTCACCACTGACAGTGACACTGGCAACTTATAGTGAATTTTAGAAAATTGACCATGGAATATATAAAATATATAAGGAATGTTATGTTAAACAGTAAATATGTTGTAGGTTTACAACCTACCAGGACGCGCGCCGAGTTGGACTCGTCGAATATGGAACAGATATTTTACGAGTATCACCCGTTAATAAATATGCTGTCTATGTAAACAGTTTTCCGCACAGTCTCCCCAGTCCTTTTCCCGATTGGGACGGACCCAATTATTCTCTCTGTCGCTTTATTTTCAATCGAATTATAGGTTTTAATTTTTGTCATACGTTGTATGACCCGCCGCGCACGAAGTGCGCGGCTCCCCCTGTAGCGTCGAAGACGCTACACTATAGTGAAGCGACCCGTGGGGTCACCCACGTGATACAACTAGGCCACAGTCAGGTTGTAGCGCGATGAGTTACAGTGCCGCGCCGCGCACTCAATGAGGCTTCTCACAATGAGGCTAGATCGGCGAGATGCGCTACTGTTGACTGTGCCGCGCCGAGCTGCCATGAATTGACATCGTCAATTAAACAGTCAGGCAACAGTTAAGTTGATCAGGCGATATGCAATTCTACCGATTAAAAGTCTTGAGGTCACGATCATCATGTTCATGATCGTGATTCGTGATGCCATGATAATGATATTTATTATATATAATTTATTTATATATTTTATCCGCGGCTGAGTATTTTTTTCTGAAATGTAAAATATTACGTGACATTGTATCACGTTGTGACCACCACGTTGTAGAGTAATTCTACGATACAGGGGGAGCCGCGCACTCGTGCGCGCGGGTCATACAACAGATGAAAAATTTCACCCCGAAGGGGGGGTTTTTACGATACGGGGGGAGCCGCGCACTCGTGCGGGCGGGTCATAAACGTAGAAAAACGTACATATTTTTAAATTTTTCCGGGCCCTTTATATTATTTATTTTGTTTTTTATAAAACCCCCAAAACCCGTCCCCAATCTCGTATCGGAAAATGACTAAACTCAGTCTGGTGTGATAGGGGTGGAAACCTATGGCTCATTGGTTAGATTTAGCTCAGTCTTAGTCAAATCCGTCTTTTTAAAACTTCAATGAAATTCTCGTTAAAAACTATATTACGATTTTAAATTTTTTAATAACTGCGCTTTCCAAAACAAAATCAGAATAGCTCCTGTCCCTTCATAGAATTAAAATTTCAAAAAAAATTCCTAACCCCAAATATTTTTTTCGCTCGTGATTGATCGATTAAATCATTATATTTATTTTTATTTTACTATTAGTTAAACAAGCGGCATATAACCAGGGGTATATATTTATACGTACCTTAGAGTAGTGAAAATAATTTCAGTCGGTTGAGGTGCTAGGCCGGATGTCAACCAAAAATTTTAAGTTTCCAGGAAAAAGTTTCATTTCGGGTAATATCGAATTTTTAACATGCTTCAGATCCAAGGTGCTCGTAAAATGGGATAAGGATCGCCAAAAAATGATAACATAGTTTGTGAACGACCCCTTACTGGAGAATGGGTTTCCCTTTTCGTACCGGCTGGACGCATCGCAAATGTAATACGATAAGGTCCTTCGTGAGGAAGACATCAACGTTGCACGTTGTTCCGCGATACATCAAAATGACCGTATTTTCCCAAGTCAAACTTTTTACCAACTTAACTTTTATTTTATAAGTGACACGAGGTTTTGAGAATTAAAATTCTTTATTTCAAAGCGTCATCGACAATAAAGCAGGTAACGATCACATCTTGAACTGCGAAAATAAGTCAATCTAATGACTCGGCAAGGAAACCCAGTGATCTTTCAGCAACTCTGTTTGAAATCTCAAAATTTACCCATTTACTGCACGAACAAAACATATGACATCATTCTGTAGGGCATTACCATATATAAGGGCATCATATGACAGTCAAGCAAATCAGTGTACTGACTTAGCAAGTTTAATTCTACTAATAGTTTATGTTTTCAAATACACGGAAATTACAAACTCTAACGAAGAGTTGGTTTAACAGCGATTACAGTTTTGAGCTAAGTTTTAAGTAAAAACAGTTTGCCGTTACATATCTAAGCTGCCTTAATAATCGTACCCATAAAAATGAAACTATTTAGCAATTGGTAGTTCAAACAGTGCGCCATACGTTTCGTGCAAATAAAAACCGGGACAGAGCTTGATATCAAAAATCACATACAAAAGATAAATTTATCTGAGAGCTCAATTATTTAGATTTTTGGAGCAACTACCCTTTAAAATACAAATATTTACAATCACCGTGCCCTGAAAAGACATCAAATCTTTCATCTCAGTCGAGCGGACACAACAAACTACAGCTATCAACTTTCAACATCTAGCAGATGTAAATAAATAATCCAGACTCGTCGTCAAGCCGACAGTGAGACACACATAACGTTGGTATCACGTTATCACATCTTCTTAGCAACAGAACAACTCAATGTCCGACCAGATCGACAATCATAGCACAATCAACACATAACAGAATCAGAGTTCAGACAATCACCAGAGAAGCAGAAGAACTATAAAAAACATCCCACGGGCAGATCTCGTATCAAAATTCTTGGATAAAATGAATAAATAAAATTAAATCTAAAATCAAGAGGAAGAATAAGCAATGGTGCGAGTCAAACAGCGGTAATAACTTATCAATTCTCAACTGGAGCAGCAGCTTCACACTTATATTTTCCTCTGCAGATCTTTCGGTTATCTTTTCAATATCAGCGATTTACCCAGCAACTGGCTCAATAAATCTTCTCACGAAGAGTGCAAACTTTTCAAAAACCTAACTCCCCTGATTTTCATCGTTTAGTTCTCCTCACGGCCTTCTTGATTCTTCTGCCAGTAGTTGAACTGGTAACTGGGTTAAACATGTTATTATTGTTCTGAGTTGGAGTGGATTGTGGATTGCCGAACTGAAAGGCCGCATTAGGAGGGGCGGCTGTACCGGCTCCGAAGTTGAAGGAAGGAGCCGGAATAGCTGCAGTGTTGCCGAATGAAGGAGGGGCAGGGCTATTGGCGCCCCCAAATGAAGGTGCTGGGGCAGGAGTGCTAGTGTTTCCACCGCCTCCAAACGAGAAGGGTTTGCTGTTAGTTGCAGCGGGCGCTGCACCACCACCAAAGTTGAAGCTAGGGGCGGGAGTTGGTGTGGAATTTCCTCCAAATTTAAAGCCAGTAGACGCTGGTTGAGAAGGAGCCGGAGCGGGGAAGCTAAAGCCGGTACTAGCAGGTTTAGCTGGTCCACCAAAGTTGAAACTGGGCGTGTTGCTGGCGGGGGATTGACCGAAGGTAGAGTTGCTCTGACCACCAAAGTTAAAGGCAGGGGCAGCAGTAGAGGCGCTGTTGCTGCCAAAACCAGTGGCGCTGGTTGAGCCAAATGAAGGAGCTGGGGTTGTCCCAGCTCCAAATGCTGGTGTAGAGGATGAAGACCCGAATGCTGGAGCCGGCGTGGTTGTGGTACTAGCACCAAATGTAAAACCAGCGCTGCTTTGGTCTGAAAAGAAAAACGTTAGGGCATAGATATCAATCACACATGGGTAAATTTCCAGCTTTGGACCAGATTGTCTGGTATATTCCGGTTCAAAGTTCGGTATTCATCTGTCATCGCGCCATCAGCTACTATCGTGGCTCAATCCAGGAATGACAGCCATCAAGATTTGAAAAATGCGCAAAAAGGGCGCGCAAATTTTTTGGCGCGCGATATGAAAGCTGTTTCATTGATTGCTTTTCATTTTAAGAAATAAAAGGTTCAATGTGTTTCAAATGCTAACAATTTGTATTTTATGGGCCCGCGCACTTGGTATTACTGCTTTCCCGGTCCTTTATTTACGTCATAGTATGACACTTGGTCCTGATTTTCCGGATACACCAATGACATTGTCCAAGGGCTAGGCTACAACATGATCTTATCAGTTTATAGAAATCGTATCAACTGCAAAAGTTTGTTTCAATAAACAGTAGATGACGACAAGGTAGCTTGATGTGCAAATGAATAAAAAACACCACGTAAAAACACTTACTGTTATTATTAGCACCGAAACTGAAAGAAGGACCATTTGAAGCAGCAGCTGGTTTCTGACCAAAACTGAATCCTTTAGGGCTCTGACTAGAATTAGAAGCATCCATACCATCTCTAGAATTAGAGTTTTCTCCAGTGGGGGCAGGGGCTGCACCGAACTGGAAAGAGGGAGTTTCAGTCTTAGGGGCGGGAGTTCCTCCGAAGTTGAATGCCGGGGAAGAAGTTTTCTGAAAATAATTTCCGATTCAAATAATTGCTATAAGCAGATATACAGGTAGCTTAAACGAAATGACTTGCTGAATTCAATTTCAGTTTTAGATAAACTTCATGTAGTGGTCACGAACAGCGCGTACAGAACAAAATTATCAATAGTCCAAATAAATCAATGCAGTAAGAAGGGTTTAGGTTTTAACTGTATAAACTTACCGTAGCAGGTTTAGGACCACCAAAGTTGAAAGCAGGAGCAGCAGCAGTAGTGTTGGTAGTAGTACCCCCAAAGTTAAGTCCAGTAGAAGGGGTGGTACTTGAAGGGGCGGCACCCCCAAAACTAAATCCAGCAGCTGGTTTTGCTTCAGTAGGTCCAGTAGTTGGCGTATTTCCCCCGAAATTGAAAGCAGGAGCTTTGCTAGGAGTGGTAGTAGCTGTGCCAGTTCCTCCAAAATTAAAAGCAGGAGCTGCAGTGGTTTCTGTTTTATTCTCAGCCTTGTTTCCTCCAAAGTTGAATTTAGGAGCCGTGTCAGAAGTAAGGGAACCAAACGCTGGCTTCGTCGTTTCTTCTTTAACGGGTGCTCCGAAATTAAAAGCTGGTTTAGCTTCGACTGGTTTCACTTCCTCAGTTGTTTCCAAGGCTCGTTTACTACCGGTAGCAGCTCCGAAACTAAGAGCAGGTTTCTCTTCAGCTGGTTTATCAGGTTTATCCTCTATCTTCTTCACACCAAAACTGAAACCACCTTTAACATCACCACTGTCACCCTTGGCACCAAAACTGAATGTAGAGCTCGGTTTAATGTCCCCGAATCCAGCCTTGCTGTCGTTAAGGCCAGCAACACTACTCATACCAAATGAGAAGGAAGACTTTGCCGCTTCTGTCTTTTCTTCCTTTACTTCTTCCTTTATATCTTCTGGTTTAACTCCAGGTTTGAGAGTTTGACAAGCCTTGCATTTAAGATCAGTGTCGGTGTTGGTTAACATACACATGCCACAGCTCCAGCCTGATTGCTTGAATTTACCAAGCTGCTGGAACACGCCTGAAATGTTTGTAAATTATGTAACATTCACTTGATGACATTATCATATCAATAGAAGTAATCTTACTAAAAATAATTAGTTCGGGACATTTAAAGCACAAACTCTTATAGCTTATAAGATTATGATGACATTGGTTCTCCAAGATATCCATAAAAAACACAAAATGAATGGTAAATATAACAAACCAGTGGAAGAGGCGGGTTTATCAGCTGGTTTATCGGCTCCAGGTTTAGGTGTTTCACAAGCTGAACACTTGCCCACACTGCTATCATTCTGCAGCATACAAGTATCACATGTCCAGCCAGCCTTCTGGGACAACGCCAAAAGCGGGTTTAGTGCGGGTTTTTTAGTCTCAACAACGGCGGGTTTAGCAGTCTCACATGCCTGACACTTGGTTAAGTCAGCAGGGTTGGACAACATACAGGATCCACAACTCCACATGTCTGTTTTCTTGAACTTCAGCAGTGGGTTGTCCATTCCAGCTAGTTTGTTAGCTAGAGGTTTCTTTTCAGGAGCAGCTGCGTTAACATATGTTGGTTACACTTAATAGTACATTCTCTGGTTGTATTCTATGATAATGTAAAAGTGTGCGGGCCAACAGACAGCATTACTAAGTCTAAAGTAGTTTTGAATCATGATCACTTGTATACATTTTTCTTGTGTTACTTTCATTATTATTCAGCTTGTATTGGTGATCTCTGAATTTTAACTGATATGTGATATATGTAAGGAGAACTCAAAAGAATTTTAGCTGATATGTCATAGATTTGTAAGGAGAATTTTAAAGAATGCTGACTTACCAAAAGGTTTGGGTGTTTGGCACGCAGCACAGTTCTTATCTTCTTCTTTGTTATCTACCATACAAGTATCACATGACCAACCTGAAATACCACGTTAAGACATTATAAAAATGGCGGGAAAGAGAAATATATAAATGTTTAAAAAGTGAGCTGATCAAAAGTGTTTGTTACAGTTCCAATCTGATTTTAACCACTCTTTTAAGGGCAGCTAATGATACTGCATAGTTATTTGATCCTAGTGGTATTCGTGAGATATGCGAGGTTTCACAAGCAAGATATTTGTAATACCCGATTAGACTGAAGTGCACTAGCGGCTCAAATAATTACTTTACATGTACTAGTGTAATCAGTGAAGCGTATGGTAGGCTTTATCCGCTACATTACATGCATGAATACATGATACTCTAACTAACCCATCGGAAATATCAAATATCAAGATATCATGTAATACAAAGTACATAGCCCTTATTCTCAAATTCCAACACAGATATAATATAATTACCAGCCAATTACCCTTAATTACCAGCTAATTAACCATATACTTATTTAATGAAAAGAACACTGCCTATCTAGGAATTATGAGGTATGAAGTGAAGTTAACACTAACCCGGCTTTTGTGCGAATGAGAACTTCACTAAAGGAGAAGATTTCTTTTCTTCCTTCGATTCTTCTTTTATCTTGTTCATTCCAAATGTGAGGGGGTTCTGAGATAATAAGAGTTTAGTTTAATTAGTTAAAAGTACCATCTAAAATATATTAGTTTGTGGACGCAGTGAACCAAAAGTGGAAACAAGTTTAGCAGACTAAATAAACTAAAATAGCTAACTAGTTTTAAACATTGTTAAAGTTTAAAAAAAAGCAAATAAAATAGCTTACTAGTTTAGCCTGTTTGGGGGAGCAAGCAGGCTTCATGGGTGTGATAGGAGCACGTTTAATACCGATAGGAGAGTGCGTGGTGAAGAGTCCTGGTAGTTGAAGTGAGTGGTTGGGCGCCTCACAACCACTACAACGTGTCATAGCACTAGGGTTACTCAGCTTGCAGGGTACACAGCTCCAGCTACCTGGAGAATGTTGGGAATGTTACTGATCTGCATAAACAGGCGTTTCAACAACTTGCTCCGAGTTACAATAGTTAAGTAGTAAAGTAGATAAGTAGTTACGAAGATAAGTAGTTAAGTAGTAAAGTATCTAGATAAATAGCTGTAACTGAATTAAGGACCGACCTGGTGGCTGTTGAGTAGCGATCTTCACCTTCTCCTCATCCTTAACCTCTCCTCTATCACTCCGTAGGATATCTTCAACACTCATAGATTTAGCGGCGCTCTTAACCCCACCCACACTGCCCGGTGTTCCAAAACTGAACTCCGCGTTGTCTGCCAGGGAGGTGGAGCTGACGAGGGCGTTGGTAACTGAGATGGGAGCAGAGAAACTAAAACTACTGTCGGAACTAGATTCTTGATCCGGACTTAAACTTTTCTTCTTTATCAGAGGATTACTGAGAGGAGAGATGTTGCTTGTCAAGGTCGTTTTAATGGCGTCCTTCAAAGAAACGTGTTCTTTTTGGGCGGAGTGGGTCTGATTGACTATCTTGATGGGCTTGTGGTCTGTGTTATGCTCAATGACGATAGGTTTGAAGTCTAGTTTAGGTACAGAAACTGTTTCAAAATCAGGGACAATAAGTTCCTCTTCTTCCTCCTCCTTGATCCGTGAGTAGTGATTAGTTTTCTCCCTCTTTATCTTCCCACCTACAGATGCAGTATTAGAGATAATAGACGAGTTCATGTCAGGTTTGTCTAACTTCTCCAGAGGAGTAGAAGTAAGGCTCCTAATAGGAACTGTACGCTCTGATTTGTACGGTTGTAAATGTTGAGGAGTGGATGGGCGGGACAGGGAGAGAGGTGTGGAGGCACGCGAACAGGGACGGGAGGAGGGCGTGCTGGGTCGGGATGAAGGCAGGTGACCCAGAGGACGGGAGAGAGACTCCAGCTGTTCTAGAATCTTCTTGGCGGTGTTGCTGGTAACTCCAGGTCGGATACTGGTCCGAGAGATGGGCTTCACTTTTATAGGTTTCTTGTCATCCTTCACAGCAGTAGCACTGGTGTTGTTAGCTGTGCGATTGTGGAGCAGGGTTCGCTGTAGAGAGTTTCCTCCAAACGAAACACGTGATCTGTTAGTGAAGGGGGAGGAGTTAGGTCGAGTTAGGGACTTGTTGTGGATTGATATGGAGCTGAGATTGGGTGATTTACTGGGGGTATTGAAGGCAGCTACACTGAACGCGTATTTCTCTTTCACAGCTGGTCTGATAGAGCTCCATTTTATTTCTCCCAGAGTTTCCTCCAGTACGTTAGTCTTGTTTAGATTAGTCTGGTTTAGACTGGTGTTCACTTCAGTCACATCTAGAATCTGAGGGTAAATTTACCATTAAAGGGTAATAATATATAACAGGATATTTCATTTTGTACGTGCTAATCTAACCGGTATAATCTAACTGCGTATAATGCGATTACACTAGTAATTGCACGAGGCGCAGCCGAGTGCAATAACTGGTGTAATCGTATTGTAGCTTCTTTTGTTATAATCTATCGCTCAGTTGTATATAATTGAGCTATATTAAACGTTTCCCGTTTACTGATAATGGTTACCGATAACAAGATAAACCCCCAGTACCGTGAGAAACTTGCCCTTGTATAATGTATATTGTGTTGTATTTATATATCACAGCATCTTTCAGAAAATCAGTGCGATTAGTTTTGTAATCGCACTCACTCCTTGAAAAAAAAACCGACAAAATATATTAAACATTGTTAAAGATTGAACAAACTTACCGAGGGTGTACTGATCTTAGGTTTAACAGGAATTCTCTCAGTAGTGAAGGGGAGCGTTGGAGCTGATATCGCTTCAGTAATTACGGGGATTGAGAGGGATTTCAGGGTTTTCTTGAACTCTTCTGGTCCTTTCTCATCAGCTGCCTGGACCTGAATAGGAGATTATCACTTTGTGAACGATATAATCAATATTGAAACTTTTAAAATTCATACTAATGCTTTTCAAACAAAGTTATAACGAATTCTTCGTGTAGTGCATCCTGGGTATGATAAAATTTAACTTGAGTCTTCAGCAAGAGTTAAAAGATCAGAAGTGAATTGGTGAGGAATTAAAAGATCGGAAGTAGAATGGTGAAGAGTTAAAAGATAAGAAGTAGAATGGTGAGGAGTTGAAAGATTAGAAGTAGAATGGAGGAGTTAAAATATCAGAAATAGAATGGTGAGTCCAGTTACCTCAGCAATTGTCTGTTCTAAAGCATCAGTAACACTTGTTGTCTGAGGGGGTCTCAACACAAGATCCTTTAACCAGCCTGGTGTTACAGGGGTTATTAACTCCTTTACTCGAGCAAGTACACCCTGAAGAAGAAGCGAAGTTAGTTTTTTGTTACTTAGCCTAGTAAGCTGTAAGCTTAATTGTAACCTAAAACTCGTAAGGATAATAAACTAAACTTCAGTGCTTTTCTTAAATTTCTACATAACATACTGTTTAAAATAAGTACAAATATGTTTACCCGACTAGAAGATGGACGCTCATAAGGTTTTGATACGCTGTGTTTCTTTGTAACAGGCTTAACTTTTCCAGGACCAGGGCTTTTAGGGCGACCTTCTGGCTGGTCAACCATTACATTCAACTATACAGAGCTAGTCTGAGCAATTTAGAGAATTACAGATCAAAAACTTTTATAAACAGAAAGATCACAATTCAAAAAGGCCGACACAGCTCCGTAGAATTCCACTGAAAGATGGAATTTTGCCAAACCGAACCCTAATTCCACAAATCTGTGTTGGGAGTCTTAGAAGTTAGATTGTGTCCATAAAGGATATCAAGATCAGCTTTAGCTTGGTTAAGTATACAGTTCAACTACCCAAAAATAAACGCAATGTCTACCTTAAAAACGTAAGGAATATAAGGACAAAGAATGGAGGCGAATTTGAAACAGAATTCCGAAATACTAACTGTTGAAACAATGCTATTAAAAGCAGGTTATCTTGGAAGATGTAAAAACGAGCTTATTAGCTTATTAACTAACTGATTAGCTAATTAGAAAACTTATACTAGCTTATCAAATCATGGCCTAATTGGAAACACGACACATCATCTCTCACTTTTTGTAGGTAGTTAGACAACTCCACGATAATTGCTACTCTAATGCATCATTACAGGCCTTTCATTTCCAATTAAATCAAGTATTATATATACATCAATTAATGAGCTGCCTTAGCTTAGCTTTGGCAGCCGAGATCAATAAAATCATGAAAACTGATCTTCTAGAACTCTTAAAACTGTGTCAGTTACCCCAGTCCTTAACAAAAGAGTGCACTTCAGGCTTAGTTTAAATCCACAATCCACATCAATCTATCACTATAGCATCATAGCAAAATTTGGCTACAAAATACCTAAAACATTTCTCAAAACAATCTAATAATAATATTCAATCCAATTCCTTTAATTTTCCAGAGCTTAGTTCTTTAGCTTTATTGCTGATTTCCTTCAAGGTATCAAATTTGTGATCGTTCTTGAGTTTTCGAAATTTATCTTTACTATTATACCCAGTGTCACCAAGTCTTGCATCAACGTATTGCTCACTTGCTCCCAAGTCTTGCAGTCCCCATTTGTAATATTTCTTTCTCAACCTGTAATCAATGTTGTTTTTCTGCTGTTGCTTGTGGCCAGGGTTGACCTTACAAAGAACAAACTTGTTGTCTGTCCTGTGATCCACTGCAAAGTAACACCCATGGCAAAGTAGTTTGGCATGATGTGTCTGTTTTAAGGAGCGGGATTGTATGAGCGGAGATGAAATCACTGAATTCCTTGTACATAATGCACTCTTTAATAACCGTGCAGCCAATGACATGTTCTTTACCTGAATAGATATTAATATTTAGGAATATCGGGCATGTAATATATGTATGCAAGGTCAACTGAACTGTATCTGCTCCAATTAATTATTGAAGTTTAGATGATATTTTAATTAATTTAAGCTTCAGTGAGCATTTTGCTAATAAATATCATACTCCTATGAAATGGATTTCAAATTAGGGACTGTTCATAAATGTTACTGGAGTGGAGGGGGTCAGTATTAAAGCATAATAGCTATATTTGAAGTGACTTACACTTAACATTGCATTGCATTTGATGAGGGCCCGTTTGTATCTAATTTACCATTAGACATTTTATCACCTTTATCATAGACAGTAGACACCTATTTTATATGACTGTAAATTTAGCTGTTCTGGCTGTTTTCCTATCACGAGATATATACAATAGGTATCTGACAATTCTTGCAGATGATAGTGCAGCATGAACGCTTGACTCTTGGCACAGTTTTAAGGACTTAGCCTAGTATTCTGTAAATATATTGTAAATCATGATTATGTCTGTCCTACCGTCAAAATACAATTTACCATTAAATGAGTTGCAGTTAAGTATATCTAGATTTCTAAGTTTCACATTCAAGAGGTTTAATAATAAAGTATCAGGTCCTGGGTAATGATGTTGATGATGAAGATGAGGAAGTTAATGATGAGGTTGAGAATATAGAGGAAGAGGTTTCAGAAGAGTGAGCTGAAAAAAGACAAGATTCTATTCTAATTTATTGATTATTATATTTAGTGAAATAAACATATAATATCCATTACTCCAGGAGTGATGACAGGATATATATAAAAAAATCAGGTCCTGGGTACGGTGTGGCTAGATTTTTTACAAAAGTTGAGGTTTACACTATGTTCAAGAGAAAGTCTTAAGTTTTACTAGTAATTACAGGTAAACCTGCACAGTGGGCTACCATGCTAGCATAGGCTTAAAATCGACTTTCTTAAATTTCTTTGAAAATAAGCTTTTCTTATTGTAAAAAGCTAGCCCGATTTCATGCAAAAAAACCTTAATTAAAAACTTTGTAAGATGCCAAAATGGCGTCGCGTGAAAAAATAGCATTTTTCACTGTCAAGAAATTTTGCATTTTTCAACCAAAAATTGCCTAATATTTCATATTTTGGGCTAAAATGCCTGATTAAGGCAGTTTTTAATAATTGAAATACAGTATAGTACTTAAGAATACTCAGCCATCAAAAAAACTGTGTGACTTTAACATTTTCACCTGATTTTTGACCGCGCCTTTTTTATGGCGTGTATTTTAGGCAATTTTTGGGGTATTTAACGACAGAAATCGTTGTTAGTTTGCAATAGTTCGCTATAATGCATGGTATCATCAGAAAGCTTAGACAATTCCCAATCAGATGCAATATGAATCACTTTGGGCTACTTTGGGCTTTTTTCAAGAAAAAATTAAGAAACTCAAAAATTGGGTCAAATTTGCTGCATTTTTAGATAATTTATGAGCTCAATTTTGCTATTAAATTGACATATCTTAGTTATTCTCCATGTTTGTGGCGTTTTTTGCATCCTATACTAGAAGCATATGGATGAAAAATCAATATATCACAATTATTATAGTTAAAATTGATAAAAATCCAAAAAAATCGTGATTGTAAACGAAATTTTTGAAAATAACAGGAAAAATTTGGGTGTTTCAGAAAAATTTGGTCATATAAATGGGCACAACTTTTGTTCTGATCAATATTTTTTCATAATTCAAAAAGATTTGAGTTTCTAAGATAGCTGTCTTTCGTTTACAGTTCATAGAAGAGCTTTAAAATTGATTAAACCTCTAAAAACAACTTTTCCTGGGATCAGCCTCCTATTTTTGGACTACAGGAGAGCTCAAAATCGGCCCAAAACTTTTCTAAGACATTTTGGGCCCTGTAAATGATTGGAATCGTATTTTGTACCCAAATTACCTTGGAAACAAAGTTAGGGGCATGTGTGATGGTCTAAAATACCCTATGCTAGCATGACCCCCACTCACAGCCCACTGTGACCTGGAACTTTGTAGCGCAATATCTTAGGAACGCAAGGCATAATATGTGAAAACTGAAAAATATGTGTCTACGTATTAAAGTAATGTAAAGTAAAAATTATGACATAACATCATCACTAATGTCTACAAAGTATCATCGCACTACATGGAAAAATATACAGTAACTATTTCTCCATCAAATTTAAAAGTAATAATTTATCAAATATAAATCATGAATAACAACAACATAAAAAAATGTAATTCATTTATACTTCCCAATGGAGTAAAGATTTATAAAACGTTTCTTAGCTACATAAGGATGAAACCAAAGATGATCATTGTGAACTACTGAAGAGTAAATTTTTGATAGGTTATTGTATTGGTCTTATTCTAATTCTGGTTAATAATAATATATCTTCAGGGGCTTGTTCCCATAGTAAATATAATGCAGTCCTCACTCGTGTACAAAGATACATTAGCGACAAGGATGGTTGACAAGGGGATGGGAGTGTTCACAAAGGGAATGGAGTAAAGTGATTGGGTAGATGATCTAGAGTACTATATCATGGCCATGGGGTTAGGGCTCACGAGAGGATGAGGACAATAAAAGCCATAAATATGCCCAGGTTTGTTTATTACATGCAGTGGACCTAAGGTAAAAGGAGTATATGTGTTGAATAAAGGGGCGCCGAAGGCAAGAGATTTTGATGATAAAGAGGTGTCAGATTACCAAAATTTGAGATATGTTGTTGATGCTAAGATGAAAGTCAGCAAGAACCAAATGTTTGGTGGAGGTCAACGAGAAAGTTGGAGGTGAAAGAGATGGCAGTATCTAGATAGCCCGACCCCTGTCCGCGGACAACTGTCCACGGACACCTGTCTAGTCTACCAGATCATATGACCGCAAATCTTATGAAATTGAATGGTATGTATGGTATCTTGGATGCAATTAGTTACGACTAGCATAATTAATTGTAGCATAGTAAATTACTGGATCAAACTATTGATTACGATTCAAATGTGGTCTCTCGGATATAATTAGTTACGAATAGGATTGATTAGTTGATTGTAGCGTAGCATATTGCTCAATGAAATAAATGATTACGATTTAAATGTGGTATATAAGTCGTTCGTTTTTGGTGAAGTATTATCAGTTGCCATCATCAACAACAACTATTCCAATTCCTGACATGGTACTCTTTTGTCTAATGGACGAAATTAATGGACCCACGGCCTCCCTAGAGAATGCTCGAGACTTCCTATTCCAGAAAAACCTCCTAAAGAGCTCCATGTGTAACGCATCTATTTCCCTGGTTCCCTGCTCGTCCTTGAAGTCTCCAGATGGACTGACATGGCGCTGCTCCCCCTGCAAGAAGTACAAGAATATCAGAACAGACAGCATCCTCTCTGGACAGATTAGATTAGATTAGATTAGATTAAGAATAATGACATAAACATCATCACTAGTTTTAAACATTCTTTCTGATTTCCTCATTATCAGAACTGTGAACATTTCACAGCCTTCGTCATTAAAAAACAAACAAATTCTATAACTAACATAATTGTCATAATTTATTTACATATTATAGTAGAAATTAAATTAATAAGTTTTTTTAAAAAGTTTAAAATGTTAAAAAACCGTTAATAAAAAAATTAGATAAAAACAAGTTCATGAGATATTTATTCCCTTTCTCTTGGCAACACACGGGTTTTTATATAAATATTGAACTTGTTGCTTCTTCTTTTCGATATAATTTACACCCTCTATTTTTGCTAAAACTATATTTGACACTTCCCAAAAGTTGCCTGTGTCTACTAAATTATTAGTCTTTTTAAATTCTTCTAGATTAATTTTAAAATCAATAACAGACACTGAATTTCTAACAAATGATGGTAATTTATTCCAAAAGCTGATAACACGCTCTGATAAAAAATTATTAGACAAGGTTTTAATATTTCTATCAATATTGTTAGATTTAGTGCTAACAATTTTATCTCCCGATCTACTTAAATTGAAAATATCTTTTCCATACTCAACCAATCCATTTACAATTTTGTAGGCTTCAATCAAATCTCCTCTAACCCGTCTCTCTGCGAGTGTTGTAATCTGTAAGGCATCCAACCTTTCACTGTAAGGAAGTGTTCCAATATCATCAATAAGGCGTGTGAACCTTCTCTGGACATTTTCCAGTTCAATGATAGTAGCCCAATTCCCATGGCAGGCAGGTGGAGACCACAACTGAGCACAATACTCCAAGTGGGGTCTTATTATAGTTTTATAAACATTTCTCATAACGTTAATTTCTCTTATAATGAGATTCCTTGTAACCCATGCAATCATACTGTTTGCTTTACTGATACAACTTTTAATATGTTTCGACCATTTCAAATCTGAAGAAGTTAAAACTCCAAGATCTTTCTCTGCTTCAATACATTCAAGTGTAATACCACTAAATACATATTCTTGAAGGGGATTTTCATTAAATGGAACATGCATTATTTTGCATTTGCTAGGATTAAACTTTAACAGCCACACATTTTGCCAGTTTTGCAAGCTTTCTAACATATTGAAAGTGCTTTCAGTGTCATTGGCATCCATAATAACTTTAAGATCATCTGCAAACAGTTTAGATATACCATTAATACAATCAGGCAAGTCATTGATAAAAATGACAAACAATAAAGGACCCAAAACAGACCCTTGTGGGACGCCTGATAAAACATCACGAAGGTAGGAATATGCTCCACCAACGAATGTCTTAAATCTTCTTCCAGATAAAAAGTCTTTCACAATATCTAAAGTGTTACCACCTATACCCAAATTTCTCATTTTTGTAAGTAGTCTATGATGTGGAACACTATCAAATGCTTTACAAAAATCTAAGTAAAACACATCTACGGGTGCACCATCCTCTAATAGTTCGATGATACATTCTACACTCTCTAATAGATTAGATAAACAAGATTTACCTTCTACAAATCCATGCTGGTTTGGATTTATCTTCTTACTAACAAAACTCATAATATGCCTCCTTACTAATTTTTCATATAATTTACATAAAATGCATGTAAGTGACACTGGCCTGTAATTTAGGGCATCTTTCCGACTACCCTTTTTATAAAGAGATGTAACATTTGCTGTCTTCCACTGTTCTGGAATTTTTCCACTTGAAGCACATGTTTGAAATAATTTAGTCACAGCAGAAACAAAACTTGAATTATGTTCAAGTTCTTTTAATAATTTAGGATGAATGCCATCTGGCCATTTACTTTTACTAATATTAATTCTTTTCAGTTCTCTGCCAACATCATCCATTGTTATCTCAATATTTTCAATGTTTAACTCATCCGCAATAAAATAACATTCTCTGTTCAAAGGTCCATCTGGTTCTTTGACAAAAACTGAAGCAAAAGCATCAGCCAATACTTCGGCAGTTTCAAAATTACTTTTGGTCAAAGATCCGTCCGGTTTTTCCAGGGATGATACACAACTTTTTAACACTCTTTTCCCTCTTAAATATGCATAAAATGGCTTCGTATTATATTTCATACACTGTGTAATTTTTCTTTCATAATTAACTTTACATTTAAATGACTTACTATCAAACTGTCCTTGTTGGTTCAGTGCAACATTAAGATTTTCAGAAGAAGGATTATTATCAAAAATATAATACCAACATTTATCTGTCTTTTTCCTGCATCTTTTTAAGGATGAGTTTGCCCAAGGCTCACATTTAAAGTTCTTTTCCGTCGGAACTATATCAGATACTAAGTTAAGCTTTGAGTGTAACTCACTCCACATATCTTCAGAAGTTAAAGTACCTTCACTAAAAGACCAGTCAATTTCAGATGATCTGTGTAACAATTCTTTGCCAGAGACTTTTCCCCATAGCTTTCTAGGCTCCTTTGCAGCCTCATCATCTTGCTTACTGTTACTAAGACTTAGATTTAATTCTACATTAAAACAAACATGATCGCTCTTCCCCAAGGGGGAGACAATCATTACTTCATTGACAATAGCTTCGTTTGTAGAGAGAACCTGATCTAGTGTACTCTCTTGAAGTTTACCGCTGACAACTCTACGTCTGGTAACTTCATCTGTGATATACCAAACCAAGCCATTGTCTTGTACACATTCCATAAAATTCTTTTCTATAATTAAACTCTTATTACTTGTTCCTAAAGGAGCATTAACAGTTCCACTAAGCCAAGATACATTTGGTAAATTTAAATCTCCAACTAGGATTGATTCAACATTAAAAACAGCTAGTTTTGCAATCATTTTGGTCATCGCATTGTTCTGCGCTTTAGAAAGAGACATTGATCTATAAATACATGCAATATTTACCCTACCAATGTTGCTATCGAATTCAACAGCAATCGAATCAGTGACCCTAAACCAATCTATGACAACTGGGTTCAAAGAGTCTTTAATATAAATAATACAGCCTCCACCACTACTAACAGAACTTTCTCCTACTTCTTCATTAACTGTAAAATCTCTATCTTTTCTAAATATTTTGAAACCAGGTATGCTAATTTCAGCATCAATAATTTCATTGTTAAAATGAGTTTCATTTATGCAAACAATGTCAGACTGGTACAGCGAAACAGCATTTCTCAATTCACAAAACTTGTTATATAAACTATTACTGTTACTATAAAACAATTTAAGGTTTAGGTATTCTTTATCTTTGCTTTCTCTGCAAGTCGCTTTCTCCGTTCCTGTCTCACAAAAAATTGGACATCTCTGTCAGCTCTGTTCAGATCCTGATTGATCCAATAAACTTCTTTCTTTGCTTTTTCAGAATCCACTTCTATCTTCCAACCTTTACCATAGTTACTCCAATGCAATGCAGCCTCTTTTGATTTTAGTTTTACAATCAGCGGTCTAGGTTGATGTTCCCTGCTTTCACCAGATTCAGTTAATTTACCTGCCCGGAAACAGGACACAATCACGTCTTCTTCCATGCCACAGGTTTCATGTAAAAACTTGAGATCATTGCTTTGAGATCTGTTCTCTTTGATAGCCATTTCGGGAACGTGTCTGATGATCACATTACATTCTCTTTTGATCCGTTCGATCTTGTCAGCATCAATTTGTTGGACTGTTGCCTTCACTAATTGAGTTGGTGGCTTGTCACTAATAGTTGCCTGGAGGTCAACCTTTGCTGCATCAACGTAGCTCTTCACTTTTGAGGATGATTCATTGACTATATCTTTTTTGACAGCAGCCATTGCTGTTGGTAACGCGTTCTGCAGACTGTTTTTAACAGCATTGGTAACCGTTTCATTAATGGTTTCACTCAACTTAATCAGCACTGTTGTCGCATTGACAATGCAGTGTGGACACTTATATTTTTTGATCAAAAGCACCTGATCCTTGTCAAGTCCTGTCAGTCCAACACAATCAATATGACACCATTTGTTGCACCAATCACATCTGATCCATAGAGAATCATCAATGACAAAAAAGATATGGAACAGATCTATAAAGCTCGTGAAATGAGGAAAATGAAAAAGTACAACTTGTTCAACAGAATCATCCAGGTGGAAAAAGGCACCTTTACCCCACTTATATACTCAACAAATGGCGGATGGGGTCCACAAGCCACAAAATACCACAAGAGACTCGCTGAAAAACTATCCCAGAAGAGAGGAGAAGACTATGCGGCTATTATGTGTTACATGCGCACCAGGATTAGATTCTCAATCCTCAGGAGCACCCTGATAGCGGTCAGGGGTGAGAGAGGGAGACGGCAATCGTATACATTGCCAGTCAGTGTAACTTCGTTTAACTTGATACCTGCCACCATGGACTATGAATGTTTCTAGACACTATCCTTTTGATATTGAGATATTGGTATCTCAGATCATGTGTACATCGTTCCTTTTTTTATGACACAGTAATTTATTGACACTCACAGCTATAATTTTAATCATTGAATCAGTATTTTTATCTATTAACTTATTACACATTTGTGCTCTGCTTTAGCATCACTTGACTATTTAAAAAAATTGTTTGTTCAGGCCATGACCTTATAGTCAGCCAATTGGCCATTGCTATATTATGTGTATATTGTTTGAATATTCTTTCTTCATTTATAGGAGCACCCAAATAAAAAAAAAATCATCAATGTGTTCGTTGCAGAAACAATCTTCTTCAGGTTTAGTACGTTCTTCTTCAGCTTGTTCATTCGTCTCTACATGTTCTCTACTGGCTGGGGCACTATCAGTGTGCCCCGTTTGCCCGTCATTGGTTACCATCCCTGAACTCAAATTATTTGTTATATAGTAGTGTTGAAAGTATTAAAAGAAGCTCGCTCTCAAGACCTTTTTACAGTTGCTGTTCTGTTTGAGTATAAAAGGACTAGCTGGCATTACGATATCACAGATGACGGGACTGTCAGAAAACGCGGTGTCTGACTGGAGATACTGTTTTCTCTGAGACCATAGTTGTAGTTGTTCAAGAAGGAGTTGATGATAGAAATGATTGATGCAGTCTGATAAAAGTTAATCTTTATATATTGCATGATGTGAACTGATCTCGTAAGGTTGCTTAATCGTTTGGTAAGCCTTGACACCACCGCTGATTGAAATTCGCGTGCGATGATGTGAACCCTGCTTGATTCAGGGGATACTGTTATTATGCAGTAATATGATTTAGTAGACAGTTGTCTGTGGACAGTTGTCCGTGAACAGTTGTCCGTGGACAGTTGTCTGTGGACAGTTGTACGTGGACAGTTGTACACAGACAGGGGTCGGGTCGGGCTATCTAGATACTGCCGAAAGAGATCAGCGTCAGGGAAATTATGGGCCTCGAGGTGCTATAGGAAGAACAGGGTATGATGTCGTAGCTCAATAGAATACAATCATTATGTAGTAAATACAGGCAACACCACAAAATGATCTATATGTGTTCGCAGCTTTCAATTTAAGGAGGGCAGAATTAATGTCTTAATAAAGTAAAGTAAAGTAGAGTAAAATTTATGATATCACATCATCACTCATGTCTACAAAGTATCATCGCACTATGTGAAAAAATAAATAATAAACATTTCCCACCAACATTAATTATTTATCAAATACAATATTTTTAAAAATTTTATCAAGAACATTATCCTATTTTAAAGTCTTCCCAGTGGAATAAAGATTTATAAAACGATTCTTTGCCACATGAGGATGGAACAAAAGATAATAGTTATTTTATTTATTACTGACATAACGAAAATGAAGAATATTCAAACAATATACACATAATATAGCAATGGCCAATTGGCTGACTATAAGGTCATGGCCTGAACAAACAATTTTTTTAAATAGTCAAGTGATGCTAAAGCAGAGCACAAATGTGTAATAAGTTAATAGATTAAAAACTGATTCATGTGATGCATTACGCAGAGCACAGATAAAAATACTGATTCAGTGACATAACTGGCTCAGTGACATAACTGGCTCCCTCAATTCTTACTAAAACTTCATTAGAAACATTCCAAAAAAGTCGGCTGACATCTTGGGTTGTACTGGATGGGTTGAACTCAAATAGAAGAATATATCAAATCGGAAAGACTCAAATCAGATAAGGTAGAAGAAAACCCTGTCACTGCAAAATCGGATTTATGTGGAATCTGCAATAAAGGAGATGGCAATAGAACAGCCAGATGGGTTGAATGTGGAAAATGCAACATATGGTTTCACATTTCATGTGCCAAAGTATCAATTAAACAATATGATGTGATAGGGAAAGAGTCAACCGAGTGGATATGCCTGAAATGCAAGAAAACTGGCAAGATGGATAGAAGCAAGTTCATTTGGGGAGAGATGGATAGCGAGGAAGCCATTACTGGTATGATCAACAGCGTCTATGCAGAGATAATAACCTGGGATAAGAATTTAATGAGACTTCCACGTGGCAAGGCTGGCAAAGATTTCATCATTGAGCTAACCAGACTGTTCACTATGTTCACCCCTGACTCCGTATGGGAGAAAGTTTCACTTTCCCTTGTTCAGATATTTATTCCTCTGCTCCTTCAGAAACCATCAGCAAGGTCCAAAGCCCGTGAGAACAACAAATATCTGATCTCCAGGCTTCAGAAATGGGATGTTGGAGACATAGAAGGACTGTTGTCAGAATGTAGAATGATACAGAGCCGCCTTCAGAAGATAAATGTTACTAAAGATTTCAATGAAAAGAAGGCGTTCTGCCGGAGAATGCTCCAGGGTAAAGTAAAAGAAGCCACACGACTAATAGACAATGAGAAGAGAACAGGCATTCTTCCTATTAATGATGACACAATCAAACAGCTGCGAGAAAAACACCCTCCTGCAACGAAGCGTGATGGGCCAGAGAAACATCCAACAATTGACATAGAACCTGTACTGTTTGAAGAAATTGACAGTGAAGCCATCAAAGCTGCTGCCAAGAACACCCATGGATCAGGAGGCCCCACTCTCATTGATGCAGACGGTTGGAAACACATTCTATGCTCAAAGAGCTATGGAAAATGCAATGATACCTTAGCTCAAGCCATAGCCGATGTTACTAAAAGATTATGCACTGAAACCATTGCACCAACCATGCTCAGTGATCTTCTTGCAAGCAGACTGATCCCCTTAGACAAGCGACCAGGAGTCAGACCTATCGGCATTGGTGAAGTCTTGCGAAGGATTATGACAAAAACAGTTACAAGAACTATCAAAGAACACATTAAGGAGGCAAGTGGCTCCCTACAAACCTGCAGTGGCATTGAATCAGGTATAGAAGCCGCAGTTCATTCAATGGCCGAGAACTTTGCCAACAAAAACAGCCAAGGCCTTCTCCTAGTTGATGCATCAAATGCGTTCAACAGTTTACACCGAGAGCTGGCTCTTGATACTGTTGCAACAACCTGCCCTGTGTTTCACCAGTTCCTTAAAAATACCTACCAAGCAAAGACAAAGCTCTTCATCTCCGGCTCAAAGTCTGGGGAGTTCATCTGGGGTGAAGAAGGCAACACACAAGGAGATGTTGCAGCAATGCAATTTTATTCCATAGCCACCAGACCTATAATAGATGATCTGAAAGCCTATGCAGAAACAACTATGGTGTGGTATGCTGACGACAGCTCTGCGTGTGGAAGCTTCATCCAACTGCTCCATTGGTGGAATAGACTCTGTGAAATAGGCCCAAGATATGGGTACCGCCCCAACGCAAAAAAGACAATTCTGATTGTTAAAAATCCCGAAGAGCTAATAGAAGCAGAAACCCTGTTTAAACACCTGGGAGTTAAGATCACGACATCCGGAGAACGCCATCTTGGTGCTGTTGTAGGCTCAAAAGAATTCAGGGAAGAGTACATCAGAGAAAAAGTCGAAAAATGGATAGTTGATATTGATCAACTAGCAGATGTAGCGACAGAAGAACCACAACTGGCTTATTCGGCCTTTACTAAAGGAATATGCCACGGATGGAGATACTACATGCGTACTATACCAGACATTGGAGAGCACTTTGTCCCACTAGAGAGCAAGATCATGCATGTGCTCATTCCAGCCCTCCTCGGTCGCCCTGTCAACCAGCATGAAAGAGATATCCTTGAACTCCCTGTTCGATATGGAGGCCTAGGTATCATCAATCCTGTCAGGATAGCATCTCGTGAATATGCATTCTCAGTGGCACTCACTTAAGATCTTGTGAGTTTAATCAACCAACAAGACCAGGATATCACCAAGCTGGATATGGGCAAGATGAAAGAAAAGAAAGAAGAACTGAGAAAACAGAAAGATGAGTTTCTATCACACATTTGAACGAACATTCTTTGATGTCTGTGTTACCCACCCCAACTCACCCACATATGTCAAAAAAGATATGGAACAGATCTATAAAGCTCACGAAATGAGGAAAATGAAAAAGTACAACAACAGAATCATCCAGGTGGAAAAAGGCACCTTTACCCCACTTATATACTCAACAAATGGCGGATGGGGTCCACAAGCCACAAGATACCACAAGAGACTCGCTGAAAAACTATCCCAGAAGAGAGGAGAAGACTATGCGGCTATTATGTGTTACATGCGCACCAGGATTAGATTCTCAATCCTCAGGAGCACCCTGATAGCGGTCAGGGGTGAGAGAGGGAGACGGCAATCGTATACATTGCCAGTCAGTGTAACTTCGTTTAACTTGATACCTGCCACCATGGACTATGAATGTTTCTAGACACTATCCTTTTGATATTGAGATATTGGTATCTCAGATCACGTGTACATCGTTCCTTTTTTTATGACACAGTAATTTATTGACACTCACAGCTATAATTTTAATCATTGAATCAGTATTTTTATCTATTAACTTATTACATATTTGTGCTCTGCTTTAGCATCACTTGACTATTAAAGTTCAGGCCATGACCTTATAGTCAGCCAATTGGCCATTGCTATATTATGTGTATATTGTTTGAATATTCGTTTCTATCACAAAGGTTCAAGATGCTTTATAATGGGTCAGATCATCTTCTTAAGAACCACTTAAACCAAGCAAGAGAGAAGGGAGCATCAACATGGCTTTCAGCATTACCTCTAAAGGACCTCAACTATGTTCTAAACAAGCAAGAGTTCCAAGACAGCATACGCCTACGCTATGGATGGAAGATCCAAGGAATGCCCTCTAAATGTGCTTGCGGACATGCAAACAGTGTCTACCACTCCCTTGATTGTAAATTAGGTGGATACGTTTGCATGCGCCACAATGCCATTAGAGACACTGCAGCTTTCTTCCTTCAAGAAGCAAAGTGTAAGGATGTAAGGATAGAACCTGCACTCCTACCTGTCCAACCAACTTCATTCTCCAGGAAGACCAACACCCAGGATGAAGCCCGTCTGGACGTAGCAGCTGTTGGACTGTATGCACCATTCGAAAGAACATTCTTTGACATCAGGGTCACTCATCCTAATTGCGACTCCAATACATTTAAGCCACTAGATAAAATCTACAGTGCGCATGAGAAAGATAAGAAAGATCTATATGAGGAGAGAGTACTTCAGTCAGAGAAAGGGTCCTTTGTCCCACTAGTTTTTACAACATCCGGAGGTATGGGCCCACTCTGCACTGTGTTTGTAGATCGTATTTCTGAAAGGATAGCTGACCACAATAAAGAAGCTAAGAGCCAGGTCAAAAATCACATCAGAACACGATTCAGGTTTGATCTGCTACGAAGCACACTCATAGCACTCAGGGGAATCAGAGGAAGACAAAAAGCCCAGCACCTTGGACTGGATGACGTATCCTTCAATCTCATTCCTCAGAAGACGAGCTTTGAGGTCTCTA